CAAATATGCCTTTGAAAATGGCAAAGAAAGATAATTTTATAAGAACAACTTAATAGCAAAACATTCACTCCAGTGCTGTGCAGAGGCTCAGCCTGATAATACAAAGTATAAGTACAATTTGAGCCCCGAGTGTGCATAGCCAAACTGGGAGACAGCAGAGCCTAATACTGCTAGCAAGCTGTGGGAGATCTCTAAAGCCATGTTGTATCTCTTCTGGTAGTTAATTTTGGGAAAGTCAAGGCTTTGTGGGATAGGGTCCTGTGTAACTGTGAAACATGAATTCAGCATAAAGGTTCTGTAATAGACATTTATGAAAACAGTTCTTTTCTGTAATTGCTCTCTTCTAGGTTATTAAAAACAATCTGTGGCTTCAGAAAGAAATGGGATGCCTAGGAATCACAGGTATGTAACTGTTTCCTCTCCTTTCACCTCTGTGAATTTACTAACACTGTTGCAATACCTACTCTTGAAGCTATTTTCCAAGGTCTTCACAATTACAGTAGCTAATACACTTTGTCCTAGAGCAGATATAGTAGGTCTGGAAGTGTTGCTGGGATGGTAATACTCTTTACAGCAGGTATCAAGTATTCTTGTCAGTGTTCTCAGGTACATTGAGCATCTCCAGTGGTAGTTGCCTAATCTGATCACTTAGGCTACCCTGATACTTAGAGCTAAGTCCCTTACAGCTTGGAGTAGCTGCATCTGAGGGCTAACTGCTACAGGCTCTTTGTGTAAATTTGAACAAATCACTTAGTTTCTCTGTCTCTGGTCTTTATTTTCTTTATTGTGTATCATAAGTAGTGTGATACCTCACCCAAGTGTGGTGGAGTACCCTGAAATGTTATGACATCCTCCTACAGCTCATTAACAGGACAATGCAATGTCTGAAATAAATCTCCCCATCACTGCAGTTCCTCAAGAGATTTAATTACATGCATTTGCCAAGAAATTACACCCTCTGAAGCAATCATCTAGTGAGATACCTTCCTTGCCCCGTGCCATGGCTAATTCACAAATGAGTTTATTAAGGTAAATGCGAAAGCAAATAATTCAGATTTGCCGAGCTTTGTTATTTTTTCCTCTGTATTTATTCAATGTCATCTTTGCTGCATGCATCTTGCTTTCTGATGGTTTGCATATTATTCAAGTACCATCCACTGAGGGAAGAAAAGTGTGAGATTTTGTGCTTCAGAAGAACCTTCTGATGCTAAAAAAACAGTGAGGCAATTGGAAGATTTTAACATGCAGTACTCTTTCGTTAGTGGTTGAAAATAGCATGGCCAGCAGGACCAGGGCAGTGATCATCCCTTTGAACTGGACACTGGTGAAGCCACACCTTGAATACTGAGTTCAGTTTTGGGCCCGTCACTGCAAGAAGGACATTGATGTGCTCAAGCGAGTCCAGAGAAGGGCAGCAAAGCTGGTGAAGGGGCTGAAGCACAAGTCTGGGAGAACTGGGGTTGTTTAGCCTAGAGAAAAGCAGGTTCATGTGGGACCTCTGTTACTTCTCCCAAGTAACCAGTGATAGGATAAGAGGAAATTGCCTCAAGTTGTGCCAGAGGAGGTTTAGGTGGATATGGGGAAAAATTTCTTCGGCAGGCATTGGAACAGGTTACCCAGGGAAGTGGTTGAGTCACCATGCTGTCCCTGGAGGTGTTTAAAAGACATGCAGATGTGGCACTGAGGGACATGGTTTAGTGGTGGACATGGCAAGGCTGGGTTAATGGTTGGACTTGATCTTAAAGGTCTTTTCCAACCTAAACGATTCTCTGATTCTGTGAAACTGACATTTTGTTAGTAGGTAAATATGCATGTTAAATGAGGGGTTACTGCAAGCACGGAATGCTGTGTTTGATTTTTTTACTGAGAATTGTCCCATTCTAATAAACATGAATTTTAGACATATTTAAAGCTAAATTTTTGGTGATTTGCTTAATTATAGTACTAGGCTTTAGTTCTTAGAGAAGAATCTCTGAATAAAAGCAGTGAGATGGGAACTTCGCATAAAACCTTTGTCATTGGAAACAGCAGTGTGCCGAGGTGTGAAATGGTTTGTGGCAGCACACTGATCTCAGGCTTTTGGTTGGAAGGGTTTTTTTACATGAGAAACGGCAACCACAGAATATTCCTGTGACTGGAGAACACAGTGGATTTCTGAGAGTTATGTTTGAGTCTGCTCTGTCTTACTCAGAATGGGTCTGAAAAGGAGATTTGTTTTGTCTTGTTGAGGTCCATAGTTTCTTTGACATTGTAACAAGAAAAGCTAATGGCAACATTCAAAATCAAATACAGTAAATTGCTACCTTTGCCTGTTCATTGTTGTGTGTAATTGAAAGGGCTTCAAATGGGATCTTGTGTGCTGGATGGTTTTGAAGACAGGGAATAATTTATAACAACAAAAAACTTAAGCATATATAACTCCTTTTTTCCCCACTGAAATAAAGCAAGGTTGTTCAAAGCTTCGCTGATAAATTTGTGGGGGGAAAGCAAATGAGGCTGTGAAATATGAAGTATTCAGCCCTTGAGAGCTATGAATTAGAATTAACGTCTTAAATTGCTTTTTTTTCCCCCCTCAGTGTCAGTTAGTTTTTAATTCTGAATTTGGCATTTCACAAACTTGTCAGAGTCTTGACTTTCCTGCTGTAATTTGGCAGGTTAGGATGGGCTGTAAAGGAATGGGAGCCTTAAGAATTTATTGGAGTCTTTACTGCAAACCTGTTGTAAGACTATAGATTGGATAACTGGAGAAGTTCCAGCTGACTGGAAATTGGCAAACGTGACACACATCTATAAGAAGGGCTGGAAGGAGGATCCAGGGAGCTACAGGTCTGTAAGCCTAACCTTGGTTTCAGGCCAGGTCATGGAGATGATCCTGAGTGCCATCACACAGCACATTCAGGGCAACCAGGGGATCAAGCCCACTCAACATGGATTTATGAAGGGAAGGTCCTGCTTGACCAACCTGATCTTCTTCTATGACAAAGTGACCCATTTTGTGGATGAAGGGAAGGCTGTGGTTGTGGTCTCTCTGGACTTCAGTAAAGCATTTTACAATGTCTCTCACAACATACTTCTAGAAAAACTTGCTGCTCATGGCTTCGATGGGTGGACTCTTCAATGGGTAAAAAACTGTCTGGATGGCCCAGAGAGTTGTGGTTAATGAAACTAAATCCAATTGGTGACCAGTCATTAGTGGTGTTCCCCAGGGCTCAGTATTGGAGTCAGTCTTATTTCACATATTGATTGATGATCTGGATGTGGGGATTGAGTGCACCTCAGTAAATTTGCAGATGACACTAAGTTGGGTGGGAGTGTCGATCTGCCTGAGGGTAGGAAAGCTCTACAGAGAGACCTCTACCAACTTGATCAATGGGCTGAGGACAACTGCATGAGATTCAATAAGGCAAAGTGCTGGTCCTGCACTTGGGACACAACAAGCCCAATGCAGTGCTACAGTCTGGGGGAGGAGTGGCTTGAGAGTTGTTGGTCAGAAAGTGACTTGGGAGTGGTGGTGACAGCAGCTCAATATGAGCCAGCAGTGTGCACAGGTGGGCAAGAAGGCCAATGGCATCTTGGCCTATATCAAGAATAGTGTGGCAGCAGGACTAGGGCAGTGGTCACCCTCTGTACTTGGTACTGGTGGGGTCACACCTCAGTGCTGTGCTCAGTTTTGGGCCCCTCACTTAAAAAAGGACATTGAGGCGCTGGAGCGAGTCCAGCCAAGGGCAGCGAGGCTCCTAAAAGGTTCAGAACACATGTTGTATGAGGAATGGCTTAGAGTTGGAGTTTGTTTAGCCTTGAGGAGAGGCTCAGGGGTGACCTCATGGCTCTCTACAGCGACCCAAAAAGAGGTTGTAGAGAGCTGGGAAATGGTCTCTTCTGCCATGTCTGCCATGAGAGGACTAGAGGGAACAGTCATAATCTGAGATAGGGGAGATTCTAAGATAAGATACTAGGAAGATGTTTTCCCTGTCAGGGTGGTCAGGCACTGAAATAGGTTGCCCAGAGTGGTGATGGTGAAGTTGCCATCTGTGGAAGTGTTTAAGAGGCATCTGGATCTGACACTGGTTTAGGCATTAGGGGTTACAGCAGAGTGGCAGGTTAATGGTTGCACTCATTCTTAGAGGTCTCCTCCAGCCCTGATGGTTCCATGATTCTGTGAATAACCTTCACCTTAACTTCTATGACGAACAAGTAAGGCACTGTAGTGTTACATCTCCCTTTCTAATGGCAGGCTGTCTGTGCCACTAACACATTCAGGACTCAGCCCATTTAGTCCACTGGTAAAGGCTTGTGTTGTGACACAGAAGTAATTTCTTAGCAAAGGACACTATGCTGGCCACAAACAGGGAACAATTTCTTTTCTTAGACACCCATCCTTCTACACCCAGTCTGTATGAACACAGACCCACTGTTGCCACACTCCACACAGTAAGGGTGTTACGTACCAGGTTGGATCCTCAATATTTGCACTTCTGAACCGTGAGTACATGCAGTGGAGCTGGCAGTGGGGAGCCCTCCTGCCTAAACATATTGACTGTGCCTTGAGTGTGGCAGCTGGAGGCCCAAAACAGCGAAAAGTCACCAGCCAAGCAATAACACGCAAATCTGGAGTGGCAAATAACTACCTAGGGAGAATGGCAAAGAAAATTGAATAGCAGAGACTGTTTTGTTCATCTGTCCATTTGTCATTTCATGTGGTGGTGACACTGCAACGTGGGACTGAATTAATGCTGTAGTAACATGAGTGGTAAAATGTTCCACCAATCTTCCAGCTGGTTCAGCTATATTAATATTTATTTTCAGGTTTTAATTTTGTAATTCATTATAAAGTTGATCTACCAGCACTGGTAATTAGCTAGGAATATGCAGTTTAAGACAGACTTCTGGCATATCTGTTTATATTGGGTTTATGTAGGATTAAATCATGGGAAAACATTTTGCTAATGTGCTAATTAAAAGTAAGAGAAAATATTTAACAGCTTGAGAATACATTGTAAAAATGTGGAATTTTTAATTAAGGAAAAACAAAGGCAATTTTTTCTTAAATATTGTCTCACATCTCAAAAGAAAGTTAAATTACTGCCTTTCTTTGATTAACTGTTTCACTTGGCATCTTTGGAGATGTTTACAGGAAAGCCCCAGATCAAGCCTCATGCTCTGCTAATTTGCTTGCTGAGAAATGTTTTGGCCTCAGGCATTGTAGTCCAGGAATACCTGGAGGCAGCCTGGGAATCCTGGTTGAGAGGGGCCTGTGTGGGCTGTGTGTAAAGCTGAAACTGTTCCCCTGCTTTGCAAAGTTTTTGTTTCGAAAAGGAGTGGAAATAGTTTCCATTTAGAAACCAACAGAAGTGAAGACTGTGCAACTCTGATAATGGCTTTGCTGAAAACAGTCAGAAAAATGGCAAAGGTTGAAGCAGTAAGAAGAAAAGAGTGGAAGGAACAAGGAGACCTCAGTGTCACTGTCAGAATTGGGATGCATCTCTGAATGGCACTGATGATGGTACCCTGGAAACAATTCTCACTTCTGAGCAGCCTGGTATCCGAAAGAAAGCTCAGTGCTTCTTAGTGACAGGCTTCAGGAGTCAAGTGGTAGTATTTGTTAAAAAAAAAACAAAAAAAACCAGAACAATTTCAGAATAGAAATCTGTATGTGAAAACCACACAATGTGTTATTCCTGTACCATCTTTTCTCAGATATTCAGCATCCAGCTTTTCAAGTAGTCATCAGCCATCTGTGATCCGTCTAGGAACTTACCTGAAAAGAGAGAGCAGATGAATTGAGAAATACAACTATGATGTCTTGATAGTAAGAGTGTGCAGCAAGTTATGTGGAAAAGCAGTTATGTTCTTGTAGGTCAGCTGTTCTAGTGACAGTTAAATATATGCAGATCAGGAAAAAGTTACTTTATTTAACTGACAGTCACTACTAGAAAAAATAATGCTGTAGAAAAGCGCTGTTTTACTGGCAGGGAAACCAGGGTGTTATACAACAGCCTATATTGTTAAAAATTTATAGGAAGGATGAGAAAACTTCTGGAGAAGGGCAGTGACACATGTTGCTGTATGGACATGTGTCATACTGGTTGAATCTATTTAAGCAAAACCTTACACAGTGCTGGGAGATAAAAACGGATTTGCAGGGACATCCTTGTAATCACCATCAACGTTGAGTCTGCTTAACATAATGTTGAAAACCTGCAAAATCCCCAACCTCCAATTACAGATGATGGAGCAGCCAAATAACATGCCTAAAGACTTCTGCTGGGAGCTGGGCACATTATCTTGGGATTGTAAGTGATGACAAAGCACAACTTGAAAACAGACTCATCTGTGTAGTTAGTAATCCAGAGATTTATTCAGTCAAGGAACATGATCAGTTAGTTAAACTGGTTACTGTGGACTTGATGCTCTCCGGAGGGGGAGTATCAGGATTAGCTGTCACATGAAAAGTACAGTTGGGTGTGCTGATGGAGATGTTATACTGCATAGGGCACAAGAGCAAAAGATGTTTTATGAAGAAATTACCTACTGCTTGTTGGCTGACTGCCCTCATCTAAAATTTTCTGATGAAAAAGAAGTACTTTAAAGATAGTAGTTGCTCCACCCAGTTCATACATTTTGCTATTTTGACTTCTGACTCTCACAAAGCCCTACAAAGAAGCTCCATTCAGGGTTTCTGCTTTCTGTAAAGGAAGGTGCATTTCCTGTAGTCTTCCAAGAAAACAAAATGGAGAAGGTGCTGCACCTTCATAGGAATGGGGTGGCAACTGCTTTAGTCTATGAGAGACACAGCATATATAAAGTGAATTTATTTCAATGTTTGGATATATTTGTACATAACTGTGAAGAGGCTTGGTTCAGTAGTCAGAATGCAGGTTTAGAGCCATTGGAGGTGGGATGGATCTGCTGGGGAGTGCCATGTCCAGGTGGGCTCAGATTGGCAGCTAGCAGGTCTGTACTGCAGTTAGAAGTCAGCACTAGTGTCATCCTGAGTGATTTGGGCTGTTGCTTAGTCTTGAAATAGAAATATACCACGCTTGATTATCCTGAAAAAATTCCAACCCCAAAGATATGTGGTCATTTTGTATAGTAATTCTGCATTTTCCTGTTCTCACAAGTTTGCCGTGTTATTTTTACAGTCCCTAAATTAGGCTGAGTCTATTGCACTGTTTAACAGTAGCTTAAGTATTTATGTAAAACTTAGAGAAGTGAATTAAAAATTATCATAAAATATAAACACTGGCTTTCCCTGAACCACATAGACACAATTTTGTTCAATATAAACTACTCATTCCTAAATAATACTATTCCATACTATTCCAGCATGGGAAGACAGGGAAGCTCCCTGAGGTGTGAATGTTCACCTGGGTTCTGTGAGCAATAGGGCTGCATCTCACTCATCATGCTAACACACATCTTTTCAGTGATTCATGTGCATCAATGCTTCAAGGCCCTTTGTAGGACCTCCTTTTGAGGATCGAATTCTGAGTGCTCTGATCATGCCTTTTGTATTTGCAGCTAATAGTATTTCTCTGTGTTGTTCTTCCACCAAAGCAGTGGCTTTTCAAAAAAAATGCTGCTTCTCATATTAATGAGATTTTAGTGTCTTCACCTTTTCATATTTCATTAATATATAATAGTTTTTTAATAGAAGAAAGTCATTTGAGAAGAATATTTGCCTTTCAGTGAGAGCTTTTGTTCATATTGGTATTGCTGATGATTAAAATATGGGATTTTTAAAAAAGTAATATATGAGAAATAATATGTAAAGAATGAAAAAAGTATCTTCTTTAAACAAAGCCAGCTATCGTTTTGAAATTTTCATGACATTCTACTCTTAATTCAGCAGCTTTACCTTTTGACAATTTAACATATTAAATTATTAATTTTTAGTATAAGCTCCTTTTATTAATGTCATAGGTGCTTTTACTGTAGGAGGTCTAAGTGATATTATTTCAAAACTATGCCTGTTATTTTCTGTGGTATCATTGGCTACTCTTCCATAAAAATCTAAGAGTATAAGCCAGAATTTATATTGCTGGCTACTAAATTGAGGAACATTTGATTTGACAGCGCTTCAGTTCAGCTGAAATGTAACTGAGACCCTTACTCAACTGAAAAATATTTCAGTTCTGAATATATATTGGCACAGCCAATGCATAATTAACAGGCTGTATCTTTGAAGCAGTACACCTTTAGCACTGAGGCCACTCACGTTGTACAAGTCTTCAATTATTTATGCTTTGCTGAAAATATCTTTGTGTTGAAAATATTAACAGTTGATTTAAGGGATGAAACCTTTTAATTCATGCATTAGACGCTTTACATTTAAATAGCAAGAAGTTTTCTGTGGGGTATATGGGAGTTCCCTAGACAGGAAACAGTTTTGTTCTAACTGCTGCTGGGTTTTGTGGGGCAAATCCCATTTCTCTTCCCTGTCTGCCCTCAGTCTCTGCTGCCTGTATTGATTTTAAGTGCTTTGAGGGAGAACATTCTGGTCACTGTGTGCCCACAGAGCACCAGTGACCACAAATCATAGAATTTTAGGGGTTGGAACAGATCATCTCATCCCAGCCCTCTGCCCTGGGCAGGGACACCTCCCACCAGAGGAGGTTGCTCAAGGCTTCATCCAACCTGGCCTTGAACACTGCCAGGGTTGGGGCATCTACTGCCTCCCTGGGCAACCTGGGCCAGTGTTTCACTACACTCATAGTAAAAAACATTTTCCTAATATCTAGCCTAAATTTCTCCTCCTTCAATTTGAATCTGTTACCCCTTGTCCTCTCACTGCAACTCCTAACACAGAGTCCCTCTCTGCAGCTTCCCTGGAGCCCTTTCAGATCCTGGAAGGTGCTAATGAGCTTTCCACACAACCTTCTCTTCTCCAGGCTGAGCAGCCCCAACTCCCTTGACCTGTCTTCATAGAGGAAATGCTCCAGTCGTCTTAAAAACTTTGTGGCCTCCTCTGGACTTGCTCCAACAGTTCCATGTCCTTCTTATGTTGAGGGCACCAGAACTGCACGCAGTATTCCATGTGTGGTCTCATGAGAGCAGAGCAGACAAACCCCATCCCTGACAGGAATCTGCACCAAGTGGCTGTCACACAGGATCAAGCTTTAGCTCTAATGCTGAATGTTGTCTTGGTTTTCAGTGGTGCCCTTAGCTCTGGTCATTCAAGCAAGCAAAGCCCCTCACCAGTACTTGACTTCTGCAGCCTCAGACAACCAGTGGAGCCATTCGCTGTTTTCCTTGATACCCTCATGGCCAAAGAAGATTTTGTTCAAACGAGAGTCTGATGTTAACCACCAGCTGGTCAGTAAAAGATTGTTTGCCGCTTGTAATATTTGTAAGGATTGTAGCAATTATATCAGAAGTGAATGTTATTGGGAATTTACTACCCCATTAGTATATTTCTAGTTCTGTCTCAGGTGATTATGTTCATTTGAGATGGTTTCAGCAACACCAGCTAGTTGTGAGACTTCCAGAGAATTACTGTGGCACATAGATGTGATTGTTGTGTAGATTCTGGTAGACACTTAGTAATGTAAAGGATCTCTGTAGTCTGATGAACTTTGTGCACACTGTATTTTGATAGGGAATTTTGACAGCCAAAATATGAATATATCAGATCAGATTCTAATAATTACTTGCGGGAATAAGTAATTCATACACATTTGGACTAGAAAAAGAGATTAACTGTTAGGACAACAAAGCTCTTAAATTAGAAGGTGATTTTACCTCTAATATTTTTTAAACAATTTCATTATTTACATAATTTAACTCATGCTGCAGTTTGTGAGTTATAATATAGACTTTTGCCCTTCCTCCATAGCCTGAAGATGTGTCCAATATGTCACTGTCTTCTGAATTTGGAATAACCTTTGAGAAATGTGGTATGGTAAGTTTTCTTACATTTGTCTTGTTAATTTGGTAAGAAGTTTGTACCCAAATGTCCTTCAAAAAATGTGGGAGCAGAACTGTCTCCATGGCGAGTATTTGGGAGTATGTCCATTCTGATGTAAGGTGGTTGCACCCTCTGTAAGAGGCATAGTTTGGCAATGTTGATTCAAAACAGAAGTCAGTGAAATCTCTCAGCCTTCAGGGGATTTGGGATTGTGGTCTAAGTAAAAACTTCACTGTGAATTTATAAATGGGCAAATTCCAATGAGCTCTAGAATAGTAGGGATAGAGACAAACTTTAGAGGGTGAGATAAGTCTTCTGAGATACTCTCCTGGCCAAACCTTGGGTGCCCTACCTGTGTCGGGCATGGACTTCATTTGGAAGATGAGGCACTGAGCCCTGTGATGGCCATGGTGTCTTTGAGCATCCTAGCACACACCCATAGAAAAGCAATTGTGCCATGGTCTGCATATGCAGTGGGACTCACCTACAGCACAGTGTTGAATGAAATTAAAGGTTTCATTTGGTTTGTGTAAATGCTTATGAGGAGCAAAACCTCCCTACTAGAAGAAGCTTTTAAACCTTCCCTTTAATTTTACTTTATGCAGCATAGGTTGATAGATTTATGTAGGCTGTTACTTTTCCTTTCTTTTTTTTCCTGTTTTTTTCTTTTTTTGTACACGGTATGAAGCCAGTCTGAATTTCCATAATTACAGACAGTTGATCTTACCTGTCCCTTGGAGAGAGAAAGTACATCCCACTTTACAACCAGTCTGAATTCTGCCACTGAAATGCTGCATATGAGGGTGGAGGATTCAGTAACAAGTACAGAAGAGGTGACATTATAACCTTGTACTGGTTTGGGCTGAAGTGGTGTTAACTTTCTTCACAGTGGCTGGTATGGAGCTATGTTTAGGATTTGTGCAGGGCACAGGGTTGATAATGCAGAAATATTTTTATTACTGCTGAGCAGAGTTTACACAGAGCCAAGGTCTTTGCTGCTTCCCATACTGCCACACTGGTGAGGAAGTTGGGGGTGCATGGGAGATTGGGAGGAGACACAGCTGGGACAGGTGACCCAAACTGACCAAAGGGATATTCCATACCATATGACATCATGCTCAGTATATAGTGGGAGGAGGAAGGGGGGATGTTTGGAGTGATGGTGTTTGTCTTCCCAAGGAACCGTTACGCGTGATGGGGCCCTGCTCTCCTGGAGATGCTGAACACCTCCTGCCCATGGGAAGCAGTGAATTCATTCCTTGTTTTGCTTTGCTTGTGTGTGTGGTTGTTTCTTTCTCTATTAAACTGTCTTTATCTCAACCCGTGAGTTTTTCTAGCTTTCACCTTTCCAATTCTCTCGCCAATCCCCTCGGTGGGGGTGTATGAGCAGCTGTGTGGTTCTTGGTTGCTAGCTGGGGTTAAACCACAACAAACCTGCACCACATCATTTGCATAGAGAAGAATGAATATGCATCACATCTCATGGCACTAATTACCTATAATGTTGTTATTGAAATGGCAGCATAACGTAATTAATGAGGCTGAATGGTGAGCATTTCAGATGTAGGAGGCAGTAACACAGAACCTTCTGGTTTTTTGGCTGTAGATTCCCAGTTTTTATACCAGAGTGTCTCAGAGTTTGAGCCTGTCGTATCTTGTTTTTTTCGGCTCTTCACAGCACAGCCTCACACAGGCTCATTACAAATTCTGAAGTCCTGCTGTACAAGACCAAAGGTAATCTGTTTTAGATGCTGGAATTATCAGAAAATAATTTTGAAGTGCTATTAGTTGTAAATTACTGAAAACTGTTCAATTATATGTGACTGTCTTCCACCTTCAAATGCAGTTCACATTTTATTTTCCTTGGCTTTCATTGTCATCTGCTTCAATCCTAATTCATCTGAACAGATGCTTTCATGCTAAGAGACAGACTGGCCATATGGTGGTCTTTAGCTGTTTTAAATGAGGAAAAAGTGAATTTTGCACATTTTCCTCCTACTACCACGAGTGGCTCCTCAGAGCATGAAAGTGTCATATATTTACTTCTTGGAGTCAGGATTTTTCCAACATCTTTCTGCAGAAATACCCTTATTGAACCTGGGGTGTTTGAATTTTACCTATGCTTCCAGAGTTAATTTGGTGTTATTTTTAGAAGTCTGAGAAATCATCATGGCTATGCTATAGGGCACCTCATTATTATTGACCTCATAAAGATTTAGACAATTCTGGTTTAGTATGAGTTATAGGGAAAGGCAGTTTGGAAGGTGAGAGGTCAGTAAGCAAGTTTCATTTAGAGAGTATAATTGCTCAAGAAGACTTACAGGCTTAGTGGAATAAATAAATAAAATCATATGAGTGCATATTGTTAGAGATTGGTGATTAGCCTATGACCTTCAGCCCTAACTGGAAGCACAGCCATGAACTCCAAAATCCACTGGTGGCTCCATCTGCCCTCACATGAGAAGGGTGAGCCAAGCTGGCATCCTTCAGAGAGTCTGGTTGCTGTGAGACAAGGGAAATAGAGACCAAAACTGCATGGAGAGAATGAATTTGCAGCTTGGGCAGCTTGCAGATGAAACATCCTCGTGGTACAGAAGTTCAAACTTCAGAATTTTCCAGGCTCTTGTTACAAAGTTATTGTCCAGTTTTGTATTGTGTGAGATATCATGGGGGTACTCAGATTCTTGGTTACACTTCTGGTTCTGCAATAGCTTTATTTCCAACTTTGGACTTCCTGCCACTTTGTCTCCAAGCAACAACTGGACGTACTGAAGATTAAAATCTCCTTGGGATCAAACAGTGTAGTATCATTTGCAGGTCACTCAGAATGCCTTCAGAAAATAAGTTTACACGTAGAATGAAGTTTTATTTGTCATCAAGACTATGAATTTTGCTGTTGAGATGCACATACAGCTGTTTGCACCATTAATATTGATGTTTCTCTTTTCAGATTGATGTTGAGCATGACCCTCAAACTGCATACATTATGCTGATGATTAACAACACCAACACGTTGCTTGCAGCAAACATTACAGATCTTATCCTCCTGGACAACATCACTGGTCTACATGTTCAAAATACCAGTGGGAATAAGACCATAGATGGCATACAGATTTACAGGAAAAGATTCTTGCAAGGTAATGAAATCTGCAGCGAAATACCCCTGATTGCACATGTGGAAGAGCAGTATTCCAGTGCACTGTGAATCAAAATTCAGCTGAAATCTGTCATATTTCTCTTTGGTTTCAACAAGAGGAGCACCAGCCAATTAGTGGTTCTAATGTAGGTTGTCTGTTCTGTAAAAGAAATATTTAAAAATATCTCATGTGGAGTTTTAGTATCAAAAAATCATGCTTTTCAATAGCTTGGGGCATCATTTAATGCAGTTTTCAGATCTTGGGCTGAATTTGCTTGAGTTCTTAGAGGCAGCAGATACGAAGAATGTTGCTGGGCTCAAGTGGCCATGAAATCTCTACTCTTGATGTGGAGCATCTGCTGTGTCAGAAAGGAAAAGCTCCATTGCTGTCCCAAGCCTTCCCCAGGGATCTTTGAGAAATTTTCCTGGGCCAGAGCAAATGTATCCATATCTCTTCTCCCTGGACTATGCTGGTGGGCTCTGCCCACCTCCTCTGCTGAATTCCCTTGAGGTCAGTCTTCTGAGCAGTGTGGTTCCTAGGAGGGCACTTTTGCTGGCCAGGAAATACAGTCTAAAGGGGAACCTAAAGAGCTCAGATGTTTTATTCATACTGAACTTTCTTTTCAAATTTGGAAAACGTCTGTAACTGCAGCCAAGCTCAGCTGGGTGCTCAGCTCTTCAGAGATTCACGCCATCATCTTGTGTGAAAAAAGATGTGTAACTGTTCTGGGTTGTTTTCAAGTCAGTGTAGCTCCTGTTCTGTGTAAGAGAACACAGGCACAATTACTTAGAGGCCACTATTGTACTGGCAGATGTACCTCACCTGCTTAGTCTACACGATTGGGTTTTTTTCTCTGTTGTAACAGGTGGAGAACACTTTACAATCAACTACTCTGCACTTCTTGATGCAAAAGAAACGTGGGATGGAAGGGTCTTGTCACTGCCCGCAAAGCTAACTTTCAGGAGTACATCACAGGTATTTACTTCACAACTTTATTTTGCTCTTCACAGTTTTTGTATAAAACCCAATCTCAATCCTTGATGATTTTTGAGAACTCAGTTGCATCAGGCTCTGAAACAACCGGTCTAATGCTGCAGTTTGCCTGGCTCTGAGTGGGAGACAGGACAAGTGGTTTCTGCCGAACTAAAATGTTCCAGTTCTTAAATATGGCTTGATAGTTTTTCTGTGGGTTTCTTAATTGCTTTTAATTGGAACCTGCAGATATATTTTCATTTCAACTGCTGTATCTCCCTTGTTTTGGAGAAAAGAATGTTTAGTATGCTTGAGAATGGTGCTAGAGTGGTAGAGAGCAAAACTTCAAAAAACAGGGAATGATAAGAGTAGAGACATGCACTGACTGTGGTCCCTGTTCTCTGCATTTTCAGACGTCCCAGATATCCACTGGGATATGCCTCTGTGTGCTGAGAAGGGGAGTGTATCCCACAGTGCAGCTGCTTCCATGTCTCTTAGTGTTACCTATAAGTACTCTGCATTTTCCTATCAGTTTCATTTGAGCTTAATGAGAAGTATAGATTATCTTCCCAAGGAGAGGCTTTTCTAGAGACTCTGGGCTGTGTGCCAGTGGATTCTGCTCTTTTTTCTTTTAATACAGGTAATTTTCTTTTCTCTCTCAGAATAAAACACATCTTGTATCATTGACAGCATCATTCACCATAACTGAAGAAGAAAAGACTCAGGTAAATGCTATGATTTGGTATTATGTTTCCTCTCCTGTTTATACTTATGAACAATCTCAGCTAAATCCTAGGAGCTGTCCTTCTGTCTCATCACTCAGCTGTTCGCTATTAATCATACCCAAATTCTGCCTTATCAGATTTTAAGAGGAAGAAAACAGGACTCAAAGGATGATTTTTTTTTCTTAAAACAGCAATATTTAGTATGGAAAATCTACAAATTGCATTATATTCCTTGCTATGGTTTTTCATTTGAAGAATTGTCCAGGCAGAGAAAACTGTGGTGAGGAATATGCTCACCTGCTTCTCTGCCTAGCCACCACAAGAAAGTTTTTGCCTTTGCAAAAGCGTGAACTTATCCTCCACCTATCAAGGAAAGGTTTCTGTATGATGCTGATACACAAGCCTGAGAAATAAAACTACAGTAAGAGCAGCATAGTTTATGTTTGCCTGTCATTTTTAACTAGTCATTCTTCCAATATGACTTTCTTGGTTTCTGAATTAATGTGGTTTTTAAGAGGCTAGATAAACCTTCAGAATTACATTAATTAGAGCAAACAGTGTTATTCTTTTTTATTAAAAACTCCCCACTGCATCCACCAGGTTCTTTACTAGACTAATCTTCACCAAACTTGTTTTACTCCCCTAACACTTCATAACCTTGTCAGGATGCTGTTGCAAGGGGCCATTTTTAAAGGATGGCTTGGCTGTGGCTTGGTTGGCAGGAGTACTGGAATAATTTGTGTTTAGGAAGAAGAAAATAGTTTGTTTCAATGTAGAACATTTTTGCCAGGGTTGTGTTGTTTGAAATCTAAAGTTCCTGTTGATGGGGCTTACCTGAATAGATCTGGAGGACTAGACCACTAATTCCTTTGACATGGGCCTGTCCTGTGAGCTTCTCTCCAGCTTTAGAATAAGTAGTGAAGCATTGGAACAGGCTGCCCAGGGAGGTGGTGGAGTCACCATCCTTTAAGGTGTTCAAGAAACGACTGGACATGGCAGTAGGATGGTTAGTTGACAAGGCAGTGATCAGTCAAGGGTTGGACTTGATGACAGAGATCTTTTCCAACCTCCTAGAAGGAATTCAGCATATGAGTGGCTTACTCAGATAAATACTTGGTCCCAAAACAGTTTAGTGAACCTCAAAGTGCTTCAAGGGTTTCATTATTTTCGAGTAAGCACATTAAAAACCAAAACACAGTAAGAAACCAAGCATACCTCTTCCAGTTAGAGCAGTTGTTGATTCTTTGTGTACAGTGCTGTGAAGTAAACCTTGAATCTTCTTGGACCTGTGAAATAGTAGCCCATGTTAATGCCTTGATGCTAACATCATTGCGTAATTCAGCTGAAAACATGTTGAAATCAATGAACGCTGAGGATCTCTAGCAGCTTTGAGAAGCTGAGCCTGTGAAATTGCAAAGTCTGACACGAGGTAGTTAGAGATATGATGGATTTTCAGTGTACAAAAATGTATCAGAAAGAGAAAAACCAGACAGTAAAGGATAAAATTCTGCTGTAAAAGGATAAAATTCTGCTGTTAGATTGGAATAAATCCTTTTCAGATTGTGGACCATGTTTGATTATTTCTTCCTATGTGGAACTACCGTTGACTCCATGGAATGCTGTCAGGTTTCTGCTCTGAGAGATGATCAGGCCCAGCTTGCAAGCATCATGTTAATTATTTGCAGTTCCTAGCCCCTGCAGAGTGATTACTTTGTGGTGAAACATTATACTAATAGCTGTCCCATGTTTTTGCATCCAAAGATCTCAAAGAACTAAATAAACACTGCATTAACATTTGTTACATGGAGCATGAAGTAAAAATTAATTTTTAATGCAGTTCAATATAAGAGCTAAAGTGAAAGACCTACAAAGTTGGGTTTTGGCTCACGGTTCTAGTGCTCCTGCTACGTTTTTGTGACTCAGGCTCATGCAGAGGCTACCAAGGGTGCACAGAGATTGGGTTTGTTAACTGTCAGTTGCATGTTTATTCTGAACTCATATTGGTACTTTCCCCCTATGGTGTTTACTCAGTTTTATTGAATCCATAAATGGCCATTAATTAAAGGTTGCCAACACCTGACTGACTTGTCAGAGCCTCTGAGCAACATCAGGTGCCATCAGTTTCAATGAGACTTAGAAGAGTTTGGCAACTTTGGAAAACAGATACAGAACACCCTAAAGTCACAGTACATAAAACTCAGTGTGGGATTTCTGTTGCTTGGAGTTAGGCAGGAATTTGGACTAGGTGAACATAAGGAACCATGCTAACTCATAAACCTCTGGAAAATACACACTTGTTTGAAAATATCCATGAAAATGTAGCAATTATAATGCTGCGAAACTCTGAAGTTGCATGAAACCATTTAAAAATAATTTACTGTGTTGCTTACAGTTATAATCCATAAAATACAGTTATTATCTGACCTTTATATATATTTAACATGCAGTTTTAATGATATTATCTTTAATTCCAGACCTTGTACCACCATGCCATCACTGCTGCAGGGTTCTTCATCGCGTTTTTCATCTCCTTTGTATTGACATGTGCTGGTTTTTTCATTGTTTACCGAACCCAAATCTTAAAATGGAGTTTCTGTAGTAAAAACCAGGTGAGTCATACTTTCTGTGAGGGTACTTTGTGTATTTTTTTCATTGATCATATCTGATGATATAGCTTGCTAACAAAGATTGTTTTTGAAGATAAATAAAAAGCCACCAAGTGATGGATTGGGTTTTACAGGTAATGCAATCTCTCCAACCTCTACTCTTTAGCACAATCAGATTTAGAGGTGAGTGTAAGAGTGATAACCTGGTCAAAGCAGCTACTGTCAGTACCTGGATGTTAGCTCTAGATTGGAGGGAGATTGCTCTTTGCCTATTAGTTTCTTTTCATATTCCTCCCTTCCTCCTCTGTCTGTCAAAATCAGAGGCTGGATGTGTCTGGGTTTAGGCAGTTGCCAAGGGAGTAGACAATTTACCTCAAGCACAACAGACTTGGGTACAAATTTTTTTTCTGATTATCAGGAATAGAGATTTGAATTTTGGTCTGTTAGTTATTTGGATGTGCCTTAACCTCTTGATTGATTAAGCAAAACAGATGGGTTTGGAGATGGAGCATTTGCAGTGTTCTTTATCCAAGCTATGCCAGTTTGGCGGAAGTATTTCAGTACATACTGGAACAGAGAGAGAAAATACAGTCTGATAAATATTAATCAAGTTGGCCCAATTCCAGCCCTTCCTTATTTTTGTATTTATGTGAAGTAGAGTGGGAGGGAGCTAGAGACCTCAGTCAGATTAATGTGCTGACTGATTGGAGCAGTCCTCTAGGAGATGTGCTCAGAGGTTTGAAGGCCTCCTCTACCCAGATGGTGGTGGATCTCTCATCCCTCTGGACTGACCAGAGTAGCTCACAAATCACTTGCAGCGTTACTTGCTGAGGCTGAAAATTACACAATCAATATTTTTTAATTTATTTTAGGTCTGAAAAATTAATCTCTTTAAATGAAAAGGATGTGACTACAGAAGAAACTGTGATAATACAGTAGTACAAAAAGGTCCAGATTGGGCATGGCATAAGATATTGATAATGGGGTTTATTTGTATAGTAATATTACTAGCCCTCAATCTCAGGGGAGTCTCTGAACTGAGTCTCTTCTCTCATGCATAGAATTAGTTTTTCATGTTGTTCGCCTCCTAATACTCTAATCTCATCATAAATAATTTGTATACCATAGCAATTTTTTTTAAATTTACCTGGAAAGTTTGTAGTGGAAGACAACCTTTTGACCACTTTCACAAGTGTTCTGTCTTCTCCATTCATTTCCTTACTTGTATTCCAGATCAGTTATATACTAAAAGGGATCAGCCTGAAATGAAGTAGTATATTTGATTTCAGTTACATATCTGAATTGCTCAACCTGTTTGTATGCTTTCCAGCTCTGCAGTTTGATGCTAAGTAGGAACCTTCTCACCCCAAGTTAACCTGCAATAAAATTACATCAGACACTCAGTATATTTTTATATATAATCTAAAGCTTGCTACTTTTTATTTATTTTGTTTTAGGAGATGCAGCATGAACTCAGCCAAAACCACAAAGCAGAGCATTCTCAGTTTAATTCAGGTGATCTCTTTAGTGAAGATATAATCATGAACGACCAAGTCATTGATATTCTGTTCTTCGAAGAACCTGGGAACATGCTCCAGGCTTTAGAAGAGTAAGAATTCACTGCTATTATATCATTTTTATTGCATTTATCAACAGCCAAACCTTTGAATATGTTTTGAGTATCTGCCCTTTATTGTTTTTTTATAGTGTCTGTTTATACATATGACTGCACTGCCTTCAATTTTGGAATGGTTTTAAACAATGTGTTTAAAACAAATGGTTTTAAACACATCTGTGGCAACTGAAAATCATCATATTTCATATTGCTTCACTTGTAGAAGTCACGACTCCATCTAGGCCTTAGACATACAAGTTTTCCAGTCCAAAATGAATGAGAGTTTTGCCTCTCTGTGGTTCACTAAGTAAAGGGAAACTTTGTGGTGTACAAGAAAATGCTGAAAGGTTTTATTCTACCATTCTGCTTCCCAAAGGGTGGCTTCTGTCCTAGGAAAGGGAGCTCCCCTGCTGGGTGCATCATTACTGTTCACCAGTGTATTTTGAAAACACCTGGAGCAAAGTCTGAGGAGTGACAGTTTGTAGTGCTGCCAGAAAGGTACCATGTACCTGCAATCAGTGGGACCACTTGGTAGAGAGAGCAACTCTCCTGAGACTGTTGGCAGGCGAGTCAGGACTGTTTGACAGAAACATGACACTGGTAAAGGCCATCTGTTCTTCATCTGAATTTGGTGAAAAGGTCTGATTTGACGAGGAATGGATGTTGTTTATTCAGTCTTACCATTAGCTCATGCTAAGTGAGGTTCAAGGCAGTTATTATGCAAATGTAAAATCTGTAGAAGCTGAAAAGTTACAGGACCATAGATTAGGTCGGTGGTTTTCTTAAAGGGTAACTAACAGCATTATTATTTCCTGCCTTTCCTGGATAATTGAGGTACTTACCTCTGTAAATTGCACATTGATCCTTGCTTTTATGACTCTGTAGCAATTCAGGTTTTGAGAAGGCTTATCCTGAAAATCATTATGTGAATATTAAGAAGAACAGGGTCAAACATTTTTTTAAACTTACTTTAGTAATAATTTATTTCAGGCACTGTTAATGTATAGCTAGTTTTAAAAAAATGCTAGACTATTTTCAGATACATTATGGATTAGAAAGATAGATACTCTTGCAAACCTTGATAGGTTTATTTTTATAACTGGATTATTTCTAAAGTAGGATTCATTTCTTAGTTTCAGTATATATCCAGAGGCTAAAGTTTTTTAATAATCTTAAGAGGTTAGTGCATACATCTCTTACTTCCTTTTCTTTCTTCACAGTTTCTATTTTCTTTACCTCTAAGCAAGTGAATAAAGTAGGTGCCTATTAGAAAACACTCACTAACCTTCTTCACCTTCTGAGTTATCTTTACCTTCTTTCAGGATGAGGATAGTAGATAGAGCACAAAGGTCTCCAGAGTTACAGTGCTTCCTGCTATGAAAGATGATAGAAAGGGCAATAGACATTACTGTGAGGGACTCAAATGAGCAGTGGGTGCTAACCTGCATTTGTAGTTCTGTGTTATGAATCTGTGATAAAATAGACAAGTGTGTAAACTCCTTTTTTTTTTCCATTAGAGAAGATCAAGTGCTTAATATGTGATAGCCTGTAAGACAGGGGAACTGAAAAAAGCAAGTCATTTGAAATGAATGAAAACATCTTTTTCCATGCTAAAAATGGGACTTCTATTTGATGTTGGCTAACTGTGAAGAAATTGTGTTGAGAATTATATGGGTCATTTCTGCTGTCCACCCAGAACAATTTACCTCATCCAGAAAAGAATCTCCTTTTGAGTTGTGCTGTTAGTGATACTTTATTCCATATCATTTTGAAAGAAGATTGGTATCTCCTACCATTTCTGTCATCCAGATACTCACCCTGCCTGAGCAGATCAGAAGAATCTGAGTAGATCACAGCAAAGTTGGATCTCCTCAGGCATCAATGCATAATGCATAGAGCCATAATATTTATTTATACTTTTATTAATATCCAAGCTGAAGTTGGTGCTTTTGAAATCAGTGTTAAAATACGTGATGACTTCACAGGAAGCAGGACTGGAGTCTTTTTTACACTCTTTTTGCATCATCATTTTTCAGTGAAATAACCTTTTTCTGAGCTCTGTTGCAACAACTGTATTGTAGGTAGCTGTGGCTTTAAAACTGGTATTCTGAAGGTTCTTATTTATCAGATCTTGTGTTTTCTGCAGTCAGTGCAGAGGTTCTCAGTCTCTTAAATGCAGGATTTTTAAAATGCTTTCTGAACGGATTAATGTAAGAATTTAAATATCTTTACTCTCTTTATATTACTGTGGATAGTTAAGCAAATTTGATAGTGAAATTGCTGCCAAATCTAGTGCTTAGACTTTTAGCAGGGTTTCCTGAGTCTTTTTATTTTCTGACTGATCTCTCAGCTCAATTTATCATCTCATTCAATTTGGGATGGGTTTTTAATTATTATTATTTTCATTATTATTTTACTGTATGTCATAGGAATCCTATTTCTGGTTTTGTCAGCATTCTGACTTCTTCTGGAAAGCTAAACTTAACCTGTGGCTCATCCATGTGAAAGCATCCTTAGATAATCTTCACGTACCTTTCTTAGCAATTTTATTTACTGACATGATGTCCTGTATTCTCTGTAGGCTCCTGTGTGTGGTCTGTGCTGAGTTTATGCTTGGCTGTGTGTCACAGGACTGATGGATGAACTCCCCCTCTACAGAGCTGGCTGCAGGCCAGTACAGCTCCTGGTGTAGCATCTTCAGACCTCTGCTAACAGGGCCTGGCTGCAGGCAGAGACCAGGGAAAGGCAACACATCCCACTCCAGCACAGGAGGGCTGAATAATTTGGGTTTGGGCAGTCAGTAGTTGTTGGTGGTCTTTGAGACCTAATGCAACTACTTCTGCTTCTACTTTAGCACAGTTTTGGTCTCCTGCAAAGGTTTGTACCTTGTCATGCTGCAGCTTGTGTAAATCACTGCCCTGAATTGTTTGCAGTCTCTGTTGTGACCAGACCCAGCAGGAGAGCATGGGAAGCAGAGGAAGGGAAAAAAAAAAAAAAGGGAGGGAGAGGCTGAAGAGAGGAAGGTCCACATTGACATAGTACTTTAAAAAAACAATAACAGCAAAACACAACAAACAAACTGATCCAAAAAAAAACCAGAAAAAATACTCCAAAACACAGCCCAACTTACTGGTACTGTATTACTGATCCCACAATAAATGGATGATTTGGGAGACAAACCACATCAGCAGCTGAAGATCTCTGATTATACTTGAATTGGCTTTCTTTGCTTACTGTTACTAAAACCAGCACTGCAGGTACTGGTTTCTGGCTGTGTGATTCTCCTTGTCTGACCCTTTCTCCATCTTCACTTCTGTGAAGTGTGAAAAGGCAAAACAGGCCATAACACTTGGGTTCTGTCCTTCTTTTTCCTTCCTCACCACCCTAAATGACATGTTCTTTGGGAGCATTGTGTATTATGAAGCGATGCTTTTGCAGAAACTGCTACCATGAGCTCCAGTCTCCTCTGGATCCTGTTGTAATATGTATGGTACTAATTGGCTACCACTGGCAGATGAGAGATGAGCCTTCTGAAAATAACAGGTTTTTCTGTTTAGTTGAGAAAATGTCACTAAAGGGGAATTTGTTTGATGTTTCTCTCCCTTTTAGACTTCAGAAAGTTGTGTCGCAGTAGTTTCTTATCTTTGTGAACTCAGAATTAGTTCTAGAAATGTGTTGGAAAGCCATTAGTTATTTTTAGGACTATTAAATTCAGAGCTATTAATTCTTCTGTTCAAAAATTCCCTCTGTGGGCTTGTAATTTGAATAATAAGACTTAAAGACACAAATACTTGGCAGTTAATGGGAGGCTTCCTTTTTTTCTGTGTGGTGTGTTGTGCTTAAACTTAACTATAGTTGCTTTCCTGACCCTAGCTGCTTTCTTGTATTCTTTTATTAGGTCCTTGGAGGGCATCTGTTGCTCAGGCACCTTGTCTCCTTCTCTGTGTTTGGCATCTGGGATTCTCCCCTTCCAAGTCTTCTCTGACAGATCTTTAAATCCTCTTCAAGTGAGTGAAAAGTCTACACTTGCTGTTTGCAGTTTCATTCTCTATGTGTCTGTTCACCTTTCCTTTCCCCACCCCTTTATGCCACCTACCCTCTGTACTGTCCTCATCCTTCCTCTGCATGCTTTGTCCAGCAGAAAGAAGCTTTGATTTTTTTCATCAATAGGTTGACATCAGCTACTTGTACTTCACTGGCTTTCATGTTTCTATGATGCTGAATATGCTCAGGAAGTGAGATGAGACTTTTTTAACATCAGTTGCCAGAAGAAGCAGAGCACAGAACACTTAAAGGAACTTATTAAATGTACCTTGGCTTCAGGAGACAGAGTATCAAACTAGCAATTTTTTTCTCTACATGGCACAAAACATTGCACATTTAACCTGTATGAATGTAAACATTGTTCTTCTGATGGACATAAATGAAACCAAATGAAAGCTTTTGGTTTATTACATGTACAGAATTCATGTGTTGAACAGACTGTTGGTGTTTAAGGCACCAAGACTTACTGATGCAGTGTGTTAGGGCTGCCCTCAACCTCTCTATTTGGAGTAAGAGCTTGAAGCAAAGTTTGTGGTGCTTGTGATGAGCTTGTCTCAGTTCTGATGGCTGTTGTGTGGAGATCACAGACCAGAAGCAGAGCACATCACATGGAAGGTAGATTTCAACTTTTTACAGATGCAGCCTTCAACTGCCACTGGAAAAAGCTAATGATCTGGCTGCTGTCTTCCAGGATGTGACCTGTGGCTTACTTTTTCTCCATACTGTTACCCTTGGATTGGTGGAACAGTTCATGTGCTTCTTGTCTTTTATTGCCACCTTCACAGACATGCTGTCAGGAAAATGAAGAGAGTTGCAGGTTACATACACCTGGGATCTTAGCAGCCTCATTACTCACTTGCTGACACACCAGTATCAGGTTAACTACCCTTATTGCTCCTCATATGGAGTTATTTGGGTGCTGTAGTTCTTGTGGTCAAGAAAAAGATGGGAATCTTGCTCAAAATGAAATCAAGTTGAGTCTGTAATGACTTGCAGTAAATAGGAAGAAATGTTGTTGGAAGACTGAGGGGAGAATAATGAGAAATGTTGTGATGGTGTTTGGTTTTGGCTTTCATTCTTGGGATCACTGCTGAAGAAGACTGGAAGAGTAACAATTGAGGTGTGTGAGGAATGGCTTAATTTTTTTTAATCCATGATAGGGAATAAATGATGTGTTATGGACTATCTGTCAATGTGGTAGAGCTGTGAAATGTTGCTTTCCAGAGAGAGATGAAGAATTTAGTCTTTCACATCTCAGTGAGAAAGATGGTGGTCCCAGCACCTACTAACCCTATCAGTTCATGCATGAAGAACATAAAAATAATTACAAAGGTACTTGTTGTTCCAGCAAACAAAGAGCGTTGGAAGTTGAAACTAATCAAATTCAAGTTGAGGATGAGGTGACCATTCTTAGATCTTAGAGGAATTATCAAGTGAAACAATTAATTAAAGTGTTGTTTAGTTCTCTGTTAGGGGATGCTGGAAAACCAGGATGAGGTGTTTCTCACAGAAGACAGATACACATCGATTAAATCAGAGCTGCTGAGCTTAAAGTAGGAAGTAGAACAGAAAAATCAATCTGGTGGCTAATAATGAATTGGTGAATCTCTGAAGGCAAACCTCCTATTACCACCTGGCAGTCATTAGGGAAATGTTACAGCATAAGGCTCCCATTTTCTGGATCCTTGTTTTTATTTAAATGCATTTTCACAACACTGAAATGCTTATTTTTCAAGTTGTCATAAATAAACAGCTTAGCAGTAGCCAGCTGTGTCAGCAAAAGTCCAAGGACTATAAACAAAATGATTTAAAATGCACATCTGTGCTGTCTCTTTGAAGTAGTTGCTGTGTTGTTTCACCATCCTGTTGCCTTGATCCTGCCATCACCTGTCTTCCGTGGCTGCCCCACTGTCCTGAAGTGAGAAAAAGCTTTAAGAAAAGTATTGCTAGCAGGTCAAGGGAGGTGATCCTGCCTCTACTCAGCCCATGTGAGGCCACGCCTGAGTACTGTGTCCAGTTCCGGTTCCTCAGTACAAGAGGGACATGGAGCTCCTAGAGCTGGAGGGCAGTGAAAATGATTAAGGGACTGGAGCACCTCACTTAGGAGGAAGCACTGAGGGAGTTCGGCCTGTTCAGTCTTGAGAAGAGATGACTGAGAAGGGACCTCATTAATGTATCTTAAGAGGGGTTGCCAAGAAGATAGAGCCAGGCTCTTCTCAGTGGTGCAAACCAATAAAATGAGAGGTAATAGGCAGAAATGTATGCACAAGATGTTCCACCTGAATATGAGGAAGTACTTCTTTACTGTGCAAGTCACTGAGCACTGGGACAGATTGCCCAGAGACGTTGTGGATTCTCCCTTACCGGAGATATTCAAGAATCACCTGGATGCAATCCTGAGCCATGTGCTCTAGGATGGCTCTGCTTGAGCAGGAAGGTTGGACTAGATGATCCATTGTGGTCCCTTCCAACCTGAACGTTTCTGTGATTCCATGAGTAGGACTCCCACAAGCAGAGGGAGCAGATCAACACCCTGGGGCACTTGACCATGAATGTAGGTGAACATCACCCAAGAAGGCTGTTGGGTGTTGTCCTTCAATTTCCATCTGTACACAGCGCAGGGAAGCTGGATGGTCATGTTGTCTTGGGGACATTATAGCACATACAAGCTCTTACAGGATCTTCAGATTCCTGTGAGGAATGTTTCAGGCATGAGATGTTTTAACTGCAGGAATTCCTGTATGGAAGGAAGAGGGGATGAACTGAAGGAGGTTTTGTAGCTGCAGCCAGCCAAGCCTGCAGCAGATCACCAAGATGAGTATGGCCATCAGTAGTGTGTTTTTGTGGTTTTGAGAGACTGCAACAGAAAAATCTGAGATAGATTATCATAGTTTAAGCTAATGTCTCTGAAATAATTCAAGTATTTGAGTCATTGTAAGAAAACAACTTAATTCCATCCCATTGATTTCTAGATGGGGAAAATACATCTCTTGTGTTATCTGAGAGGCATGATAATAATATGTCACTGATTTAGCATAAGAAAAGGAGAGTTTGACAAAAAGGTGGAGTGTTTCCAGATTTGCATGCTTTGATACGTATCATTCTGAATGTAGTATCATTCTACTCTCTTGATGATCTTCCCAAGATCTTTGCTATGGATTTGACGTTTATTCTACAATCTGTGGAAAAATTAAGCCAAAACTTTAGCCCAGGTGAAAAAACGAATGGATTTGAGTTCCTAAAACTGTGTTTTGTTGGTCATGAGGAAATTTGTGTGTACGTAATCTACACACAGAAGCATACAGTGCTGTGTGTTCATGTAATTTGACACGTGGGGGCAAGACTTATCTAAATTTCTAATGTTAAATTGAGTTCAGAATAGGCAAAGGTATAGAATTTGGAGAAGCTACGAGGTATATGAAATTAGAATAATTATAATTGCAATTTAATTAACTCTAGAGATAAATGAGAATGTATTCATATGCAACATGACATTTAATGCATTTAGTAATCCCTTCTATTTCCATCTGGTTTTAATCTCTTTTCTAGAACTCTGTTAATGTTCATGAGAGACAGAGGTCAGCTATTTTAATTTATTTCTATCAGCACATAATCAAAACTGTCCCTTCTTCCCTGCAAAGAAGGGAGTACACCAGCACAGAACATAAAAAGTGGTATATCAATCTAGATGGGTCAGTGATTTTAGAATTGTTTCACAAAGTCAGTGAAATTTGTAGTCTCTTCAGATACCCACTTCATCTGCTCCCCGACAGAGATATTGGATTTTGGGTTTGGAAGTGGGGAGAGGGCATTTCTATTGGCTTTTGTATGAGATAATATTTTGAGTTTTATTTTTAAAAACAGCTTTGTCTTTTTCTGTCTGAAATGGCAACGCGAGGATGGACGTATTTCATTAAAGCTGCTGTAGTATAAGTTGACTCACCCTGCTTTTTAATGAATGATTGCTATCATGGTTATTAACTTATATGCCATGATAGAATGAATCATAGAATGTTAAGGGGTTGGAATGGACCTAAGAGATCATCTAGTCCCAACCCACTGCCCTAGGCAGGGACAACATCCACCAGAACAGTTGCTTAAGGCTCATCCAGCCTGGTGTGATACTCCTGCACTTGTCTGACTGCCATTTCAGTACCCAGTATGGAATGCCTCTAGACATCCTCATTTTCTGATAGAAATTCCCTATCATCTGCCATTTTAACAGTCCTGATTACCTTTCTACAGCTTGGAGGTTGCCAGCCTGACACGGGCAGATGTTGATCTGGAGACATATCGAACACAGATATGTAAGGAAGTGATTGCTATGATGCTGAAGAACATGGTCTTAAGTCACACTCTCTTTCCTCATGTGGAGAAGAGGATAAGTTCAATTTTCAAAAAGAGGTTTCTTGTCATGGAGAAGGAGATTCAAGAGGAGTATGAGAGGAAGATGGTAGCTTTAACAGCTGAATGTGATCTGGAAACAAGGAAGGAAATGGAGACTCACTGCCAAAAAGCAAGAGCTGCAAATGAAGAGGCTGAGGAATTAATGAAGAAGATTAATGAAAAGGTAAATCTGGTATAAAATCAAGATGTTTTGCATGATATGTAGTTTTATGTAGATGATTTCTCTTTTAGGCTAGAATGGCTGAGTTGTCTTCTTTGAAAAGTTAAGACAAAGATCTGCAATTTAAATGTGTTCAAAAATTCTGATGTCGTAATTAGGGTAGTTATTATTAAGAAATTGTGTTTTATTCACCAGGAAATTAATTTATCTCAAGAGAATCTGTGTCACCTAAAAACAAAGAATCGTCATTACCCTCTGGGGTTTTTTATAGTCACTTAAACTATTGCAAAGTGGTGTATTTTTATTTATTGTATTTTACTGCAGCAGTTTCTGAGTTTGCCAGTCAGGCACTCTCTAAAGTATTTTGCACATTCAGAGCTGAACAAACTCCTTGCATCATAAACCTTACAGTTTAGGTAAAAAGTTTCCAATATTTATGTTCTTATTTTGAAGAAAATGAGAAAATAAACACAATCAAAGGCTGATTTCCCTCCAAACTGAGTGAAGGCAAGCAGAACCATCTGTATTTTAGGCAGATTAGGGAGTGGACTTCTCTTGGAAAGAGACACTGGATAGTAGATAAGAGATTTAAGGCAGAGTATGATTCTTTTCAAGTTTAGAACAAAAGCTTAGTGCTTATGTGTGTCACTTGAATTCAAAGATCTCTCTCTGAATGGGTAAGTTTCGTTACCCAGGATTTCATAGCTAGTCACTAGCTGGATATGGAACCTGGGTCACCAGTCCAGCTCTCCATGGAAAAAAATTTGCTCCAGTCTTCCATGTCTTTGTGAAAAGCAGCTGGATCAATAACCTCTTCCTCTGCTCAGCCAAAACACAGAATTTATACTTTGTGCCTCTTTTATTAATTATTTGCTGCCTGCAGTGTGTCCCTTGGGACTGAGCACTGAGCTGCAGAGGACAGTTCTCCTCGGATAATTGGTGTGAAATTCAGAAGACCAATGTAGTGACTGTTAGATAGCTCTGCTGGCATAAGGAGCATTTTTTGCTCTGTGGGGTGAGTGTGTTTTGATTCTGTAATGACTTTGTGCCATCTGAGATTAAGACTATGAATATGTAAGTCTTACTAGAGAACTATGAGAAAGGATTTCTTGCAGAGAAGCTTTTAAATTAATTGCCATTTAATTCTAGTCCATTGTTGTAACTCTAAAATTATGTTCCTGGATTAATTTGTAGAAACTGATAGTTAAAGTAGGTCACCAATAATAAGAACTTTTAGAGAGATTTGTAGTAGAACAGGGTTTTTTCCCTAATTTGTATTGTTTTTAAAATTATGCTTGTTGTGCTTTATATGAGTCTATTCAATTCTGATAGGATTTCAGGATTAATGAAACCTAAGAAATTAATTTCGTATATATATAGGCTTTGTGTCAAATTTTGTGATGGTTTATTATCATTTATCTTAAATATGTATTCTAAAAAGACTTCATTATGCCTTGAAAGTGGTATCTGGATTAAAGACTGACAGATATACAGCCCTGTCATTCCAATCAGGTGAGAACTATGAGACGTGTTCACTGATTTAATATTAGTCTTCATTCAAAACTGAAATGACAGTAATCACAGTGTGCAGAAAATATACATGAGCTAGTAGCACTGGTGCTTGAAAATATGTTCAATACTGAAAATCCCTTCAGATACAAATATTTCTCTCTTCTCTGCAGCCTGCTGTGGAATACAGGAGTCTTCTGGATAGACTTCACAGACTGGAGCAGGAGCACCTGAAGAGATTTCTTCTGGTAAAGCAGGAGGAATATTTTGCAAAGGCTCATAGACAGCTGGCTGTTATCCAGAGAAAGGAGCTCCACAGTATCTTTTTTACACAGATAGCAAACTGTGCTTTAAAGGGAGAACTGAAGTTGGAAGCAGCTAAAACATTAGTGGAAGGTTACTCTAAAATACAGGTAATGGGATGATAACTCCATTCCTAATCTAATGACAGAATACAAACCTACCGTAACTTTTGAGAAATGTTTCAGGATAAATATTATCACTTTTATAACTAATTTTCTTAGGAGGTATTTTTAAAATTATAGTGCCAATATTAGGCACATCTAAACATGTACACAAGTGTATATGGAGGCATATGCACATTTTCAAACCCCTCAAGGCATCAAGTGCTGTTACATACTTCAGAAAATGTACTGAGTCCCCAGTCCAAATATGCAGATTATTGAAATTGTGGTGTGTCTGAAGCACTATGGTTTTGTACTTTGAGGGGTTGAGTTATGTGGTCCAGGGGTGCTGATGTTCAGGACTTTGGTTTTGTTTTCAGTAAGCCTCTTGCAGCAGAATAGCTTGAAATGTTTCCTCAAGGGTTTGTGGATTTATGTTTTTTTTACTCTATTTATGTTGAAAGTTAGTGTTCTAGATTCCAAAAATTCTGGGAATTGTTCTTCTGGACGCTTCTTAAGGCAGAATATGATTGTTGTGGTCCTAGAGGTTCAGGGCCTGGAGGTTAAAAAGCAACATCTGGAAAGCAGGTGTCAAAACATGTAAGGCCCAATCCTAAAACCTGATGCATGATTTAGTACACAGAGGCTACACATGGGCCACTATCAGAGGTAGGTGCAGCAAGTAATTGTGCAAAAGATAGCTTAGCAGCCAGCTCAGAGAGGTAGAGCAAGTGAAAAATAGTTTTGACAATGTTTTGGCTGCTCAGTCATGGATCATGTAACTATCAGACTTTGGCTTGGCTATTTGATGCTGGTAGAATGTCTGCTACAGACCACTGTGTGCCTGCCTCTGATCTCTGCCAGACCCACTGGTAGGTATCTCAACTCCTCCTGTTCCCTCTGTTAGGAGGAACTTCTAAGCCAGCCTGTGTGCAACAGGCTTTGCTTTCCCCATGCTGCACTGGACATAGGTGGAAGAGTTATTTTTGGCTTTGAAATCAACCCTCTATGTAATCATTGTAAAGGAAAAAAGAAAGGAGGACACATGCCACTTACTGCTGTTACTGATCACTTGCTGTGTTCAGGTCCCAATTCAAGAAGACCTTTCAGCCTGTGGATAGCTGTTAGCAGGAACAGTTCTACTAAGACTAGTAGGGTTGTATGTGTATTGAGTTTGGGAGTACTCAAATCAAGCAGCCTTTGACTCAGGGCTCTCAGGAGGTGCACTAAATATTCAGGAGAGTACACACAATACTGAGGTATTCAGGCCCAAAGCTCAGCACACGATTTGTTTTGGTTTGTTAAAATATCAGTAATCATTTAACATGACCATTAGAGTTATTTGATAGAAGCTTTTTTTTTTTTTTTTGGCTTGCAAGAATTTTTAACAATGTTAATGAAGAAATCTAGTCTGATACTCAGAGGTGCTAACCAAAATTGGCATTACATCTAATGAAATATATTTATTCACATTCTTTCCTGTAGGGTGACATTGAAGAGCTAATGGATTTTTTGCAAGCTAGCAAGAAGTATCATCTGAATAGAAGATTTTCTTACAGAAAGTATCTTATTAGTAAGATACAGTTAAGGGATTCTCAAGTCTCTGCTCTTATAAATGCAGCAGCAGCCCAGATACCAAGTCTCATTAATAAGATGGAAAGGTAAATATCTCAATTATTTTCTTGTTCACCAGAATTTTGTGTGCTGTGTGGTTCCAGCACATCTATCTTCTCCTATTGCAGAGCCTTCTCACTGCTCTGGACAGGGATTTTAATTGGATGCAGCAAGCTTGGGTTTATTTCCTCAGTACAAGAGGGAATGAAGATGTTAAAAATAATATCTTGGTTATTATCTTTCCTCACCATAATAAATCTACCTTTTATTCACTTACCTTTTGCCTTGGGTTTGATCAAAAAGTAGGGGCAAGACTTAAGAGTTACCAAATATGGGCTAAAATTTAGTGCTGTTGGTGTTTTTTTGACATAATACTGAATTTTAACGTAGATTAGTTTCAAGACAAAAATTACTTGGCCAAGAACGATGCATGGGGGATTGCTTTCAAAATACTGAGAGGTATTTTAATCTTCTTTGCAGAAGATTAAAGAAATGCAATAGATAGAAAAGCTCTGCAAAAGGAGGCTCTGTCTGGTTGACAAAACTGTGTGATAAAGAATATCTGGATTTCTATCCAGCACAGTCATTATATAGGGGATGATGTTTTGTGGCTAGCTCAGATATGTGTGGATGCTTGAGCAGTAGATGGAGAGGTGTGAATTGTGGAATCTGACCACCATAGTCACACTGCAGTGGCTGCACACAAGCTAATGCATTAATCTTCTGCTTTATTTATTTTTGCTTTTATTTTGAGGATTTTAGTTGGAATTAAGTTGTCAGATTATCAACAAATCCTGATTAACCAAAATGGGACTCTCCTTTCTCAGGGAGGCCTAGCTAACTGCATTTAGTTGCTACTGTAGTTTATGAATTGGGCCAGGTATCATGCTGGAATGGGACCTTAGAACCCCAGGATTCATCCGAATCCTGGCTCTGTGTGTAATGTCCATGTCTTTGGAAAAATGGGGATTGGATAGGTAAACTACAAGTATTTGACTAACATCCAGGTTCAGGTCAGGAATTGGTGCTTTCAACTAAAAGTTTCATGTTGACCTTTCCAACACCACATTTTGGAAGTCCACTGTGTTTAATAAAAATTATGACTCACAAATGTCCAACAGCCTGGTCTGAATTATGATGTTGTCTTATTCTTCTGTTGAATGAGAAAGATTTGGGGAATTCCTAGTGAATAGCAAGTCGTCTCTGAAATTCTGTTTGAGTTTGTGGAGAGGGAGTTTTTTCTAACTGTTGCAGGCACCGTTGGAATCTTGTTTTCTCTTTGATATTAAGTACTTGTCGTGGTTTAACCTCAGCCAGCAGCCAAGAACCACGCAACTGCTCACTCACTCCTCCACCAAGGGGATGGGGGAGAAAATCAGAAGGGTAAAAGCTAGAAAAACTCATGAGTTGAGATAAAGACAGTTTAATAGAGAAAGCTAAAGCTGCACACATAAGCAGAGCAAGACAAAGAATGAATTCACTGCTTCCCACAGGCAGGAGGTGTTTATCCATCTCCAGGACAGCAGGGACCATCACGTGTAATGGTTTCTTGGGAAGACAGACACCATCACACCAGATGTCCCTCCCTTCCTTCTTCTTCCTCCCACTCTATATATTGAGCATGATGTCATATGGTATGGAATATCCCTTTGGTCAGTTGGGATCACCTGTCCCAGCTGTCTCTCCTCCCAATCTCCCATGCACCCCCAGCTCCCTCACCAGTGTGGCAGGATGGGGAGCAGCAAAGGCCTTGGCTCTGTGTGAGCTCTGCTCAGCAACAACAAAATCATCTCTGCATTATCAACCCTGTGCTCTGCACAAATACTAAACATACCCCCACACTAGCCACTGTGAAGAAAGTTAACTCCACTTCAGCCCAAACCAGCACAATACTTTAGCAACTGGAGGTAGACTATAGTCTTGAACTTCCATTTGAAAGTACTGTGGTCTTAAGATTGACAATTTACTCTTTCAGATTATTGTATTTTGCTATTATTTTGAAATTTTTGTAATTGTTCTGATGTAAATGTAATAGAAAATCTGAATATCAATGCGTTTGTTGATATGATTGCTTTGTGTATTTAAAATATCTTATTATTGTTTTTGCTTGATTAGGTTACATACTTTAAAGAGAAAATTACTTCTAATGAGGCAAAGGAGTTATAAGCGACATCTAAAATTGCATTCCAGAAGCATTAAATGAAAACCATAAATATTTAGAATAATATATAAGGTTTAAAATGTCTCATTTGAATATTGCTTACACTGCTAACTGATATGAAATTGGGTTTGCACTTGCCTTCCCTTCCTTTCTTCTTCCTGTTCCATCTTCATACGCCTTCACTCTACCTTCACAAACTGCCTCACAATTCTACACTCATCTCTTGAGATTGTCCAGTTATCCACTTGCTTGTTTGATCCTCCCAGGTACCACTGCTAAAGAAACAGACATCATTCTGTTTGTCTACTTTGTTGAGCCGTATTATGGTACTAATTGCCTCACATATCCTTTTGCTCTTAAGAATTTAGGCTAACAGGCTACAAATACTGTTGTTACAGAGCAGGTCATCTCCCTGAAAGTCATTTGGGAATGCTGCTGGACCGCGCTGAGGCTGAAATTAATTTTGTTAAACAGAAATTTGATCAGGATTTGAAACAAGAAAAGCAAAAGCTTCACCAGAAACTCATTACCAAGCGAAGGCAGGAAATGCTGCAAAAGGTAATTATTTTCAGTGTATTTATTTTCATAGGGCTTATCATGAATTAAAAATGGAATTAATTGAAAAATTAAATGTAGTTTTTACAACAGGGGTCAACACTGCCAGGAGTATGGATGAAAATAAGTGTCCATTGGCTTTAGCCAATACATTACCATGTATTAATTAATTAGTAGCTGTTCTTCTAGAAAAACCTGCAAGAATGTAGCTTAACTTCAGCTTAGCTGGAGAAACTTCTGAAGCCCCCTTAGTCTAACCTGTCCAAGGGGGCCATGGCAAGCCTCTGTAACATGCAGACAAAAGCCAGCTGAGGTTCTGGAGTTGGTGAGGGAGATGACTCAGATGTCAGTCGTCCTTTTCTACAGGTTTCCTGGCTAGGTGTGACCTGAATGACTTCTACAGCACTGTTAAAATTCAGCTACAAAACAAAACTGTTTTAAGAGATGCTTTGCCTCTGGTTGCTTGTGCTGGGACTCATATCACCTCACCTCAGCCGTGTAAAAATCAAAGCTAACTCCAAGAGCTACAAGTCATCTCATAATGCAAGATGAGTTGCAGGTGATATGAAAGGGGGTTGTTGTTCAAAAGTATATTTCAAAGTTGTGCACAGTTATCTTTCTCTGCCTAAAAGATGTAGAAAAAACTATCTTGGTTTAAGTGACATTATTTACATGACCAAAGTCAGGTGAGATTGATTTTACCTTTTGCAGGATATGTGTTTCAGTGGTTTATGCTCTTTAGCAGAGACAGCAGGTATGATGATGAAGACATTATTTGTTGTGTTTATTCTGAGTACAGATAGCTTTGGTTTAGCTTTCCAGTGAAATTGCTTCATGTTGCAAGACTGGGAGAGGAAATGTTAAAAAAACCTTTTTTTTTTTTCAGTTTTCCTTCCTTGCTCTTTGATCCAGATTCACTTCTGGAATACTGACAGATCACTAAAGTTCGGCTAGTTGGGGTTGTGTCAAACTACAGGATCATGCATTTGTTTAGGTGTTAGCCTCTCTATCTAACAACAGTCTAAGTTATCACAGGCCTCTGTTAGCTCTTGTATTTAACAATGGTCTGGATTATCACAGGCCTGTGAGATGCACACAAAGCCATCATGTTGAGGGCTAGATAAACCTCTGGACACTCAAAATCACAGAAAAGCAAAAGTAGGAAATTTCCCATTGCTATGGTATGCATAGTTAAAGAGCTAGAATTTGAGATGTTCCTTCTCTTAACCTTGTTCCTCCTTTTGGCAAATGAATCAGCAGAAAGAGCATCAGAAGGAGCAGCTTTCACTTGGGGATCCCTTCAAAACTACTAAGGAGATCACTCACTACCTGAGCCACTGGAAAAATCTTCTGAGTGATCACACTGTTGAATTTGAAGAGCTTACTGAAAAGCTTGACAATGAGGCCAGTGAAGAGCTGAAAGAGCTTCTCTTTAGCCTAACAGAGAAAGCCATTGAAGACCTTAAACGTGTTCAGTGTGGAGTGTTTGTGCAAGAACTGGTCAAGCTCAATGTGCCAAAGTTGTTCCTGCTAGAAGCTGTGGAGGAGCATAAAAAAGAGATGGTTGTCAAACATGAACAGCTTGAAAGGGAAGAGCATGACAAGAGCATGGCTGCTGAAGAGCTGCTTCAGCTCACCAGGCAGAAGCTAAGCCAAGAACTGGAAACAAACATTTTGGAACAAAAGAAATTAAGGAGCTGGGAGCAATCAGTATTCACGCAAGTATCTCTCTGCCCTCTTTCCTTAGTTACTATTGCAAATAGAAGAGAACTAGGAGCTTTCACACCTGTCCAGGTATAATTCCTGATGATCAGTTCTCTGTTGGGCACTTGGGAATTGGTGGCTTGGCCCTTGCAGCACCAATGGGTGAGAGCTGCAGGGGAAATTTCAGGAAATAGCAACTTTGAAACTAAAAACGTGGAGCGGTATTTTTATACTTCCATTCATTGCATGGGAGGTTTCACTTGCACATCTTTCATTATTATTCTCAGTCTGTTCTTAGAGGTCCCACACTTTGGAAATGACAGTTAGTATATCAGGCCTAATCAGCCCCATGTCCAATTTCAATATACTCCTTCTAGCCACAAGTCAAGCCTTATTCACCTGGTTTATTTTGAGCTTTGTCACAGTTTTCACGTATTCCAGAAGTGCACAGTGCAGTAGCCTATCTCTCCAGCTCATGGGCTCTGTGCATCAAACTTGGCTGCTCTGCCCTGTTGATGGAATGCCTCAGGCACCAAACCCTGAGCCAGAGAGGCATCATGGCACAGGAGTGTTGGAGAAAGGTTTTCTGACCCTGAGAAATGTTATGGCCATTGCTACCTGCTGCAGTGTGACCCTGGGGAGGTGAGAAGGCAGGTGGTGGCCTTGCCACTGTTGGGAGACCTTGCACAGGGAGAGACCATGGCTGCAACCAAGAGTGGTCAGAGTGGGGAGCAAGGTCAGCACTGTTTGTTAGCATTTCTTCTTAGATTTCAAGTACATTTCTAACCAGTTGTTAGATTGCTTGAATAATTACAGTAGCACATTTCCTATTTAATAACAGACACTGTTAGAGGCATGGAAATGTGTAAAAATAAAATTGCAGCTTTAGGGGAAGCAGCTGGAACAAGCAAACCTCTAGTCGGCTGTGTACCCCTGAAGTAAATATAGTGGGCATAAGAGATTGAACAGGGAGAGAGGAAAAAGAAGAAAGAAAGAAAAAACAGCAGTAGTAAAAGTTTCTCCTTCATACCTCTTCTTTAAAGCAAAGCTAGATTTGCATGGGCAATTTTGCCCGGACAGCATCTTTATAAGTTTCCTTGCCACAGAGTGTAAAACTGTATAGCAGGAATATAAAAATAAGCTCTACCCATTACATTTGCTTTATTAAAGAAAAAAAATTTCATTTGTGTTTTGGTGCTCATTTCAAGGCCTTTGTATTTCACTCAGCATTTTAAATACTTTCCTCTAAACAATTTATATGCATTTTCTAGCTTGTTTTATTATCTCTTGCTTACATTGCCGAGAGCAAGTAATGTAATGTAAGTAGGGAAGTAGATTGTATGACCCAGCAGGACTTTCCTGTTTCTAACTTAGACTTTCGTGATAATTGTGTCCCAACCTGCAATCTGCCTGTTTTGTTTGTTAGATGCTGTCTTTATTTGAAGCAACAGCAAGCTGTTTGGGTTTTTTTTTTTTTTCAGTAAAATATGGTAAATATATAAAAAAAATGCAGCAACAACTGTCCTTACAAAAAGCAAAAGCCCCTAAAAACCTGTCACTGTCTTTCTGTTGAGTCCATTGTCTGTCAGTTATGGTATTTTGGTGGCAGATTCCAGCTCTCCTGTTTATGTTCTCATCTGCTATCTAGTTTTCACAAAGAATTATTTTGAATGATAGCTTTTCATTTTTGTTGCTTATCAAAGAGACCATGAGTTAGTCCAAAATATTTATGATCATTAAAGTCCTTTTAAAGCATAGACATGACAAAACTGCTGTAATTTCTTTTATATCTCTGTCAATATATCTGTATATGTGGATGTAGAGCATGTATGTTTTTTGTGAGTCTAAGACAACATGAGAAATGGTTCACTATACTGTAAATGGTTGTATGGAGTCATCTCGTCTTTAAGTAATTTTTGAAGGGAAAAGCTTCATGTATTAAAAATGTTTTAATTAAGGATTTAACTACTTTGTTGAATCAATAAACAGAAATAAGGATTTCTAAAATCAAATATTTTAGTGGAATGATGAGGTAGTACAGGCCTGTGATACATTGAATAAAAGCATCAGTACTAATGGAACATACAGTATATTATATTTTTCAATGAAAACTGCTTTTTAAAAAACAGTCTGTTCATGCTTTAAATACATACCATTTTTTTTAAGGTAGGGGAAATTTCCAAACAAACAAAATTATCCTATTTTTTGTGAAACATTCTTAAAGAAACATTTTCAGTCACAAGGTAAGCAGATGAATGTAGTCTAAGGTTAGTCCCAACTGAGCATACTTTATTTTTAAGTCAATTTCAGCTTAACCTGCTGATCAGTTCCCTAAACTTCTGTGTTGAGAACCTCCCTTCTACAAAGTGGGAACTTAGAGTGATTCAAATTACTGCTAAAATCCATTCTGTGTTGTTCAGACTGCAAAGAGCTTTTTAACAAATAACAGCTGAAACCCCTGTGACATGGTGATGGGAGGAATGACATATGACTTGGTAATAAATGGAGACTTTTTCATTTTATTTTTTCCCTGCTCAGTACCTGTGACTGCTAAGTGCTGGAAAACAGCACAGGGAGGCTTTATGGGAAGCTTTTATCTTGATTTCAGCTGAAGTTCAGGGATTGTATTGTCTGAAGAGGTGGAAGAATTCTGTGCATGGGAAATGTGCTAAAAATATTAATTTATATTTTAAATATTCAAAAACTGTATTCCCTTGAAAATGAAGTTTTACAGTCCAGGAAGTTCTGTATGTAGGATTTAAAGTATCCTCAAGGATATTTTGAGCATCATAGAGTATAAGGGTTTAAATGGACCTTACAAATCATCTAGTCCCAACCCCCTGCCCTGGGCAGGGACACCTCCCACCAGAGCAGGTTGCTCAAGGCTCATCCAGCCTGGCTGTGAACACTGCTAGGGTTGGGGCAGCCACAGCCTCCCTGGGCAGCCTGTGCCAGTGTCTCAACACCCTCACAGGAAAAAACATTTTTCTTATATCTAACCTAGACTTCCTCTCCTTCAGTTCAAACCCATTACCCCTTGTCCTATCATTGCAGTTCCTAACACAGAGTCCCTCTCTGGCTCCCCTGTAGGCCCTTCAGATATTGAAAAGTTGCTCTGAGGTCTCCACACAGTCTTATCTTCTCCAGGTTGAACAGCCCCAACTCCCTCAGCCTGTCTTCAAAGGGGAGATGCTCCAGTCCCCTTATCATTTTTGTGTCCTCCTTTGGACTTGCTCCAACAGATCCATGTCCTTCTTATGTTGAGGACACCAGAATTGCATGCAGTATTCCAGCTGCTAATCAGCTCATTGCTATGTGTGGAATCATTAACTGATACATGAAATGGACAAAAAAGGGATGATCACTGCTATGTAAAGTAAAGTATTGGTGTGCATGTCTCTTACAGTTTCTGGAAGATTGGATGTATCACTGCACACAAATGACTTTTGTTTTCATTTTAATAGGCAGCTTCGTAATTTACCCCTCTCACTGTCAGAAGAGGAATTGCTGAGAATGAGGCAAGAGTTGCACTGCTGCTTCTCTCAGGTGGACAGCAGCTTGGCTTGGCCCAAGATAAGAGCAAGAACCTTGCTTCAGGCTTCTGAGGTGGAGCAGAGGGATACGGAGATGCTGAAAATCGATCAGAATTTAGCAGTCACCAATAAACAGGTGGGAATGATGTGGGTTCAGTGCAGGGATGTTTGAAGGATTCATGGATATACCTGCAGGTTGTTGGCATTGGCTGCAGATAGAAGTTCACAGCTTCTTCATAGGTGGAACATCAGTGCACACTTCTCCTGTCTGTGTGGTCTACTGGACCTTAATTAATTGTTTGGGCAGTACTTGTATAATTACGTTTTTTCACATACACCTGTGTATTTCTGCTGCTTTTGTGTCCTCCAGCTTTCTCAAGAAGACATAGTTATAAAGAGGCAAGTGGGTGGCCAAAAGGGGCATTGTCTCTGAGGAGAGTCCACCAAAATGCCGAAGATTTGAGGGATGCTGAGCCTGGAGCTGCAGATTAGAGACAAGTTGGGTCCTTCACAACCCAGGCTGAGGTTTCAGAGGCAGCCTCTACACATTACTAAATTTGGCACTAAATCAAAGAAAGATTTGGGGAGTTTCTGAAAGGGAATGTTCGACACTGTTGTGTCAGTTTAGGAAAGTAAAGTTCCTGAATTAGCTGTTCATTCTTGGCAAGAATTTAGGCTTGATTTATGTTTCTTCTTTCCAAAAGAGTTGAGTGCATACACAGAGTTTGGGTATTTTCCCCATCTGAATATGCAGAAGATGAGGGATATTCACAAAGTTAGAGAAACATTCCCCACATGGAGTCTATATGCCTATTAAATGTAGCACTTCTTAAAACAACTCTGTGAGAGGCATTCAATTCCTTCAGTAAAATGTAAAAGCTTTGGAGTCATAAATGATTTTCAGTTCTTATAAAGGAATGGAGAAAGAAGTGTTTCTGGTATGAATTGTGTCTGATGTCATCTTAAGGAGGAGTGCTTGCCCTTGCTTTGTTTTGGTTCAGTTATGTTTTTTAAATGTGTAAACTACCTTGGGTTAATTGTACTAGGAATTAGCCTAGTTCAAAACCTTAATGATTTCTAAAGTACTAAAGAAGGGAAATGACTTTGTAAAGCCTTATAGTTGAACAGATGTTATCATTTCCCCAAGAGTACCTATACTTAGTTGGTATTCTTGTAAAGAAATATAAAGGTCAAGAATAATTTGATTACATGGAACAGTGCTTCTTAATATTATCATGGTTCATTTGTGATTCATAGACTGTGTGTTGAAAACAATGTAGTTCTTAAATTAATATTCTTTGTTCATTTTAAACTGTGCTGGGGAGACAACATCTCCGTTAAAATCTTCTCTTATTTTCACTCCTAAAGCTTGCTTGAAATCAAATTTATATGCCACTAGTTTTCATGGAAATGATTAATATATAGTTCTACTTGAAAGAAATGGGAAAAAATAATTCCCATGTTGTCTGAATGTCCAAAAGGAATCTTTGGAATGAATAGGCAGCACCTTCATTTCAGAAGTTCTTTCTCAGTGAAAAGTCATCTTTGCCAAGTGTTTCATTAATTATGGATATGCCAGTAATAGCAAGTAATAATCTTAATGTTAGCATCCTCATATACCTCTGACAAATAAAGCATTTTGTGCTCATGTTCTTACAGCAGCATTCTAAAATGGGAAAAACAGGATCCAGGAATAGAAATAAGATAGATATTCTGAAGAAATCTTTACAGGACAAAATTTCAATTTATGAAAACTCAGTGAAGGATGAAAATTTGAATAAGGTAAGCGCAAACGTTTTCTAGACTGAGGTCAAAACCTAGATCTTTACTAATTAAAGAATGACAGTTTTCTATCAATGTGTATAAGAACCAGATTGAAAAGGCATACGGTGTAGTGGCATGATGCATCTCCCTAGTCTTGCGTGTGTTTATCAAGATGTTGTATTTCAAGCTTAATAGTTTTTGCTTTGTTTTAATTCTAGCATCTTAGTTAGAGAACTGATTTCATGTCCCACCCTTTTTTTTTCTTCTGATGGTTCTGGGACTTGGCATAAGCAAAATTGCAAGACTCCTCTAGGTCCTGTGGTTTTCTTAGGCTTTCAAAACATGGAAGGTACTTCCCTGCATTCTTCAGTGCTGCAACACTTAGTTCTTGGATGTCTGGTAATGCTGCTGAAAACCCAGAAATGGATGTTTAGATGAAAATAAACTAGATTTAGTTTAGGGTCAAATGTACAGAGCTAATTGAAAGGAAGTCTTGATTCTGCTACCTTTTAAAGACTCACAGCTCCAGTCTAAAATTAATCCTTTAGAAATAAGTGGAACCAGTGCTAATATAGGATTTTAGAGGCTTTTTCCTTCTCTGCCAGCAGATATTCCATTCTCTCCTCCTCTTTCCCATGTGTATGTCAAATATGGATAACGTAAGTTTTGTATAGCAGAGGAACATTCCAGGGATAACTGTTAGACATAGGTGGTGCACAGCTGTAAGAACTATGCAGAGCAAGCAGGTGTCATTGGTGGTTAAAATTGGTAGATAAAAAGTAATTTCACAGGAGATTGCAATTCCAGTTTTAGTACCAATTTGGACAAAAAACTGGTTTTATAGCTCTTTGCTATGCTATTCATACCTGTATCCCAAGAAATGAAAAATACTGGGTCAGCATCTTAATTCAGAAATAATTTAGCTTTTATGTGAGAGTAGCATGTTGTTAGTATTGGTAGCTAGTGCAGCACCCAATCTTTGAAAGTGAGAGCAGGTCCCAGGGCAAGAATGCAACAAGTGGGCAAGTGTGTTCTGGCACTTCATAGTTTAATACCCATGGTCCAAGGATACCCTAGTCCTTTAATGGAGGCATTTAAACTTCTGACTTCAGTACCTGAAGCCCTGATCTCCAAAGTTTAGGGTGGTTTTGGTACTGTTCCTTGAAAGTACAACTGAGCACAGGCTAAGCTTTTATGTTAAAAAAAGTACCAAGTACTTGTTTGGTATGACTATAGCCTTACATTTTTACTAAAATCTCATTTTAAAATGGGGAATTTAGTTTCTCTAAGCCTCGTTGTTTCAGTTTTATGTGCACCATCTGACATACCTGTTGGTGTCCTAATTGTATGGCACATTAGTTATGAAAAGCCAAATGCTTTGTGCTTTTACCAAGCAAAACTACTGTTCAGTAAAAACATTAGTTCATATGTTATCATTAGAACACAGGAGTATTGCAGTAAACCTTGTGTTGATCACAGTAGTAGAGTTTCTTTCTTTTGGCTGTTGCAACCTGTTACCTCATTCTTCATTTAGAAACTTCCAATTCTATACTTTACATTAATGTAACGCTTTTATTATCTCACTCAGTATTAACCATCTGAAGTTACACAGCCAATTCAAGGCAGGGAAAAAGGGTGATGGACCAATCCAGCTCTGATGTGTTTCTCCTGCCTTCACTACTGCAGACTTGAGAGAATATCATGGATTCAGTCTCTGCAGGATGGCTGTGAAATGCTTTGCAGCTAATGCTTATGAAAGCAGCAGTGGAATGTGTTTTGTAATACAGGAAAATAGGCATGACAGAGAAGAGCAACCTAGACAGGAGGTAGTGAGCTGGGAGGCCATGGCAAGAAGTTTGAAGCCTAATCTTGGAGCAGCTGAGGGTATCATCATTGACCTCACTGTGAAAATCTTCAAGAGCAGACTGTCGACTGTACTTCATAGCTGGTTTGAGCTGTCTTGTGCTTGAGGAAGTAGCTGTTCCTCTCTGAAATAGCAGTTACCTACCTCAGAAGAAACACATGGACAAAATGACTGATGTTTTAGCCTGTTTTCCCTGCTGGGCTGAAAAAAAACCCTGTTAATAATACTCGCATAAGAAATGTCTTTGAGGTTGCAGGTAATCAAGTACATTTTCAGCTTATTTTCTCTATTTGGACCAGGATATTTAGGACTGAGACAACCCTGCTTACCAATCAGTCTGAGCTAAATAAGGAATTTACAAGTCAGTGCTTTCAAGCAATGGACTAATCATAGTGCATTTACAACACTGGCAATTTTCATGTAGTTTGGATATTTCAGGTGAAATCAGCAGCAAGTGTTCAGACCTATGGGAGAGAATTCATCTTAAAGTAGTTTAACACTCTAATATGTCAAATAGTAAAATGTCAAGCAGTATTTTATACTCTTATGTTTGGTATAATGCAAGGCTTCAAGGATGGCCAGGGTCTGTTAGTTTCTCATTTAGTTTGTAATCAATAATTGATCTAGCCTCTGCTGAAATCACCTTGGATGTCACACTGAATTCAGGTCTACTTGCAAGCTCTGGATTACATAAATGTATTTCTGTTTGAAGAGCTGTGATTTCCGAGCTGACAAGAGGGAGAAAGAAACTCATGTAGCCAGGGGTAGATAGTAGCACCAGTTGAGTAATGCAACATTTTGTTTCTTTAAGAGCAGTTAATTTGCTGTATAATGTTGAGTAGATGCTGAGTAATAAAGCTCAGCATCTTTCCTATAGACTCATAGAATAGTTTGTGTTGGAAAGGACTTTTAAAGGCCATCTAGTCCCAATCCCCTGCAGTGAGCAGAGTCATCTGCAGCTGGATCAGGTTGCTCAGAGCCCTGTCCAAACAGACCTTGAATGTTTCCAGGGATGGGGTATCCACTGCCTTGCTGGGCAACCTTTCCAGTGTTACACCACCCTCACTGTAAAAGACTGTAAAGTATTTCTTCCTGCTGTAAAATAGTTAATATTTCGTTCATGTTCATTTAATATACATATTAATAAATATGTGAAGTACTGTAAAATATTTCTTCCTATTGTAAAATATTTCTTCCTTATATCTAGGCTAAATCTACCCTCTCTTAGTTTAAAACAATTACTATTGCAATAAGCCCTGGTAAAATGTTTATCCACATCTTTCCCCCCTTAAGTATTGTAAGGTGTCCTCAGAACCTTCTCTTCTCCAGATTGGACAACCCTAACTCTCTCAGCCTTTCTTCATAGGAGAGTTGTTCATCCCTTGTGTTCTGGGCATGCTTAACATATGACTTACCAATTTGCAAGTGCTATCTATATTTGCAGTTTGGACCACTGATCTTAGGTTTCATCAAATACACTGAACATGTCATATAGATCCCCTGTTATGACAGAAGTATAAGTGTTTCCGTCGTCAGTGGCATCTCTTGCTTTTGGATTTCATTAAAATATACCTTTCTGTGTCTCCTTATAAGTGAACTTGAGTTGGCAAACTGCATTTGCATCCTTATTCATTATTCATTTTAATGGCTTCAAACTTACACTAAAGGTGATAACTCGTTTACTCATTCATCTATTCATTATTCATTCATCCATTCCCAGATTTCATACATGTATAATTCATTTCAAATCCTTGTGCCTGAAACTGAGCCTCCTGTGAAGAAGCAAACTGTAAATGTAGTTGTGTACACACACCTGTTAAAACATTCCTATGTAATTTTTTTTAATCTATGTTTTTAAAGGTTTTTAGCACATCCTGTTTCTACACCACAAAGGCACCCTTCAGATATTAATTACTAATTTTCTGGCCTGTAAAACAAGTCATACCTCAAGCATTTATTTTCTCCTCTCTTGAGATATTGTGAAAACATGTATTCTGGCAGGCAGTATCTTAGACATGTAAATAAAAGGTGGAATTCCTCAGTGTGTGCATGTTGTTGTAACTCATTCAAGCTAGTAGTGTTGTAATAACTTCTGTGAGTTATATATGTTGAATACAGAGTATGAGATACACTCTAAAACATTCATCCTTTTACAAATGGGCCTATTTATTTATGGTCAGGTAAGTCTGCTTGACAACTTTTTTTCCCATTCCTTGGATAGGTACTATTGTAATGAAAATCCTAATACAAATTACTTAGTCTGTTGCAGCAGAAACATTGGTTGTTCTCATCCATCATTTTCCAACTTTTTAAGTAAACTCAAGACTTAATGTTACCAAAGTTTTGAATGGTGACTTGTGGCATTAGTTGTCCATCCTGGTTCATTGCTGACGTGTATTGCCCCTTAAAGCAATGCCTCCTGTAATAATGCATCACCCTCAACACCTTGCTAGACAGCAGCTGTTGATAGAGTCATACAATCATAGAATTTAAGGGTTTGAAGGGACCTTACAGATCACCTAGTCCCAACCCCCTGCCCTGGGCAGGGACTCCTCCTCACTGGATCAGGTTGCTCAAGGCTTCATCCAGTCTGGTCTTGAACACTGCCAGGGTGTCTTGTGTCCGTGTTCAGCTGTGTAACAGTTAATTCAGTGTGCCTTTCAGAACAAAAACTTGAATTTTACTTGAAAAATTCGTCTTGTGCACAGGCTTTTGAAGCAGGATTTGGGCTTTTTAATTATTATTTTTGTATTGAATATCATAGAATCAGAGAATCAATTGGGCTGGAAAAGACCTCAAAGATCATCAAGTCCAACCCCACCATGGTTACTAGACCATGGCACTAGGTGCCACATCTAGTCTCCTTCTAGGCCTTAGTCTTATGTCACTGGGTCATAAGAATATCTTGAAATAACACTTTGGATTTTGAAAATAAATTTGCTCTGGCAAGATAAACCAAAACAAACCAGGAAACAAACTCACCAAAGAAACTCAGTTAGGGTGGGAATGATTGTCCTGTGCAATCTCTGTCAAAGTCATGACTTGTAGGATGTTCTATGGCATTTTTGATATTGATTTCTAATGGGTGCTACTACAATACAGTGTACTCCCTTGAATACCTGTAAACTACTGGGCTGTGGGCTTAAATGGGAGGTGCTAAAGGTTCTTGCTTTTCAGTACAAAGCAATCTACAGAAAAAAAAGGCTTCGAGTTCACTTTTAATAGGTTTCTCACAAAGAACGTAGAAGATACAAATATAAACTATTATTATTATTGATTTTTTTCCTACTGAAAACAGAAACATGCAATATATAATTCTGGATCTATCCTATGGTAAATGTCATTTGCCTTTTTTTGAATGAATACTGGAAGGCAGCTCAGCTCTTTTTCCATGAATTCTTGATTTTGCCCATCTCTTTTGCTTTTCACTGTAAATACCTGTCCTCTCTGTTCCAAAGTAACAGCAGGTTTTTGCCTTTTGGTTACCAGAATGCCAGTGTGATCTCTGAGTTCAATTCTCCTTCCAACTCAAATATCTCATCTGTTTATTTGTAACCCATATGCTTACTTATTATTTAGTGTCACACACCTGCATTATTCAGGATCGATTTGTCAGATGAACAGTAATGTTGTGTCTGTCTTTCAAGATGAGGATTTGTTAAAAGTATCAAGAAAATGAATCTTGCCTCTATTTTGTGTCTGTGGGATGATTTCCTACTCCTGACTTGTAATTGGCTTAATTCAAATTAGTAGGAAATACTTCCCGAAGGTAACTTTCTATCTCCAGCATTCAAGGACATTCCAGATGACACCATGGAGACTTTGGAGAATATCACATGAGCAAGAGAATATCCCAAGCATATTTGGTTCCAAATCACATTTTAAATTTACCTCTATCTACTGTATAATAGAATTTGTATGATACACAATCACTCTTAGCAGATCTTTTATGAAGGAAGCTGAGAGTGACAAGCTCAGGTGGAAGTATCTAAAGGGCATAATTGCAGCTGGTGGCTGTCCACATTGTCCTGCAGAAAATGGTTGCAGTGCAGTATCTTTAGCTGTCAGTGTCAGTGGTAGAGCCTAGGGAGCTCACTGATCACACTGCATTTGGTTGTGTGCTTGAACACACCACACTTGCCTTTCACCCTTGGATAGTTTCTGTGGATGTCCCATCAGATATGTGACAGCAACATAGTTTCTGCGTTAAAACACTTGGTTTAATCCTGTTTGATGTTGAGTCAATCCAGTTTTAATCTTATTTGAAATCCACTACCAGTAGACTCTTGATTTAGAGTTTATATAAGAGGATTTTTGATTATTTGCTCAAAGAGCGGTAGGTTGAATGTTGTTGGCCAACATTAACTGACACTTGCCAATTTGAAACTGAATATAGTATTTCTATAAGTTTCATATTTTTGCTAAACAGAAGGGTGTATTTTATCTTATAGAGTAGTAAAATCATAAGCATGCATGTAAAGTTTTCTGTTAATCTTTATATCTTTTGTGTTTTGGTATTATTTTTTTTAGATTAAGGACAAGTTGCTGCATGAAAAAGAGAGTCACCTGCACGACCTGGAAAGTAAACTTGGAGAGTATATCACTTCCTTAGCCTTTCAAAAGACTGTTAAAAAGTCCAAAATGCTGGAGCTGTATACTGCTGTCATAAATGTGCAAGCTTTGCTCTTTGAACAACTGAGCGCATCAAAAACCCTGTCAAAACTGGAATGCATTCAGATTTTAGAAGCACATAATCCTGTAAGTAATGTAGCTGTTAAAAGAAAAAAAAATCCTGTTAGGAAGCAGCAACTGTTACAGTATCTTATTTTAACTTTGATGTAGCTGCTGGTTTGCAGCTTCTGCTGGCCCAGCCTTTAATTTCTGTGATTATGTGCACTTTAATGCACTCAGTAAAAAGCATAAAGAGAAAGAAAGTCGTAGGGAAGATTGTGTATTATTATTATTTATTTTTATTATAGTTGCATGCAGTCTGTAGGAGAAGTATTTTGGTGGCTAATTCATATTTTATTGATTGCAAGGAACATCGTGAGAAGAGAATTGTGAGTCATGACTGGGATAGTAAATTGTTGTGACTGTTACAAAATCGTTCATGTTATAGTGCTATCCATATGTAAAATCCATAGCCACATGATATGCTTCAAGCACCAAGTTTTTAGAGATTATATAGACAACCTTCTACCTGTCTATGTCCCTCCAAGCACACTCATACAGTTTAAATAGTAGAAACTTTGGAGAGGGCTCATTTTTATTACAGATTTGATATGTGCCAGTTTTCTAATCCTTTTTTAATACTTCAGTGCTCTGTATTCATAAGGACTTATTTTATTCTACATCTGCTATTTGAAACCATCCAAGTGAAGCTTGGGAGGGCATTGGAGTAGAACAAACAAAATGGGTTTTTAAGAGAAAAACCTCTTTTCTAGAGGGCATCATTAGACAGCTATTGCTGTGAAAATTCCTGGTTAAACTTTGATGGGGTCATCTCTGCAGAGTTTCTCATAGAGAGACAGTTAGAATGCTTGTATGGTTCCTGTTTTGCTTAAATTTGTATTAAATCTGTGGGAATTAGTGAGAGTTTTACATAGATGGAGTATTTTTGTCTTTTATGCAGTGAGAGGGCTTTTCAGAGAGATTGTTTTTAGCTTCTCTGACCTTAATCAGGTGAAGACAAAGGCTTGAAGGAGGGGCAGGAGAGACACCTAGGGTAGCTAACACTGGGTTCTTTACCAAATGGGCAAAGACTGAATTAAGCCCTAATATTTTTTGAGGGGGTGATAGTATTTTACACATTTTCTACAGTCCTTCTTAGGCTTGGTTTTAAGGGATTGTTTCCTGGTGATCAGACCTCTCTCTCTTGCTGTGTTTTTGTCCAACTCCTTGATCCTGCTAACTGGCAAAATGTTTCTCAAGCTGTTTCAGTGGGTTTATGCAGCATATAGGTGAATTCTAATGGTGCCATTCCTTTGTTTTGAGCTCAGCTGTGCTAGTAGTGTCCTTTCTAGATGTCCGCTACGGTGGAAGGTTTCAGAGAGCATTGACTTTTAACAGAATGAGAATTGAGTCATATATTTCGTCATTGTTCTGATATTCATAGCATGCCAGTCCTATTTACTGAAGCTGTGCAATGAATTGGAAAGTGTAATGACTGCAAGTGGCTGGGTAGCATGAGAAATGGGTAAAATAATGTCAGAAAATCAGATACCATTATCTTTTTTCTTCACTGCGAATGAAATTTGTTCTTCCAAGTTAAATTACAACTTTTTCTCATCACACATTTTCAAATTCTAGGTGATTGAAGAGCTTGACAGGAAGCTGGAGTATGAGATGTTGCATAAGGAGTCAGCACAGCAGCATCTAATGAGTAGGCAGAGGTGGATTCTGGATGGTTTGGGACTTTCCAGTGAAGCTGCAGAAACGAATGCAGAAAGACATGTGACAATTCTGCTAAGACAGGCCATGAATAAATGTAGGCAATTTATAAATCTGTACCAGCAAAAGTAAGTTCTTTGGTCTCAGGTTTTACTATGTTACTGCAGTCCTTATAACCATATGATATCACAGAGAAACAGCAACTACACGTTCTGCTGTATTGGGGAGGGACTATACATCTATCTTTGAATGCTGCCTTCTTGTGCTGTGGCCCAGAGCATAACTGAGGGCTCTTGGGAACACTGAAGTAAGAAACATGGAATAATAATAACTTAGTTACATATAGATTGTGCTATGTTGCATGGCAGTCACCATTTCTTGATGGGGATAGTGGAAAAATAACAATACTCCTTAGCAACAAGAAGGAAAAGAATATTAATCCTGTTACTTCATCTCCCAAGAAGATAGGTAGAGGTGGGGACTTCAAAGAAACCTGACCTGCTAGGGTCAGAAGAAGTAGCTGAGACAATGTAAATTGAATTTTCATCTTGTTGTCACACTGTAGAGTGAATTTCTGGTCACAGAGTTATTTTTTATGGGATATATAAACTCCTTCACAAACAGGCTCAATTTCACTTTTCCCTGGCCATTTTTTAAGTAAAGGGACAAATGAAATGCCTCTTAGGATGCATATAGAAATATGTCTTGTCAAGAAGGCTGCCTAGCAAAAAGGGGTGATAATTTGCAAAATTGCAGCCTATTGTATTACATTCCTTAGGGATACAGGACGTAGGAGTGATATTTCCATGCGTACGGCACGGTATTAAAAACCTCCCACATTTCAAGCTTCATGTAAGATCCTGTGCTTTCCATTAGAAAGTGTGTTTTCCATGAAGCAAGTGATACAGTGGCTGTGGCAGGTGTAGAGTGGCAAGTCTTTTTAATTCTGAAAAGGCTGGAGCTCTGGTCAATGTAGAATAACAGCTCTGTTGCTGCAGGAGTAGAGTCAGTAGAAGAGCAAATAGATGCAGTGGTATCCACAAGCCAGTAACCTCTCAGCCTTCAAAGAAACTGCAATTAGTCTTTACCTGAAAGCATTGGAAGAAACAAGTTTTGTCCTTTTCCCAAGCTACACGATAATGGCATCAGGGTTTGATCTAGAAACAAAAGAACATCACCACTAGTGAGGAAGTTAACTGTTTAATATTGTATTTCAGCAACAAAAAGATCCACAACTTTCCATAAAGTGTGGTGATGAAATTTAAAGATGCTGATGGGGACAGGCTGAATCACACCACTTTGGGGCAATTCCAGATTTGAACTGTGTGCAGGAGCCTAGCCTTAGAGTCTGCTCTGTTTGCTTGGAGGTTCAGGGAGGAAGGGAGGAGAAGTTGGAGTGTTTTGGAAGTTATGCTGCTCACACAGCATTGCTGACAGAACGATATGCTTCCTGAATGGATGACTTTCAGATGTTGCTTCCTATAATACAGTCATTGCTCCTGGGAAGATTTCAGTGTTAATTCTGTCTTTCACTTCAGCTTGAGAGATGAGCAGTGGAATTGCGTGGTGCTTGAAGATCTCCTGGAAAATGTAGAAATGGATGTGTTTTTGGCAATTTATAGTCAGGTAAGCATGAAATTGAACAAACTTCCAAGTTTAAATTGCAGCTGTATCTGGAAATCAGCTTTTCTTCTTTTGGAGGAACCATTATGGATGTATTTGGAGTTACTATCTCCTAGTAGTTGATACCAGATTGCAGCATGTGTTGTCAGTCACTTTGGTTAATTCTGACCTACTTTCAGCCTTTTAAATTTTACTGAGTTATACTTCTATTTGTTCATTTTCAAATCCTTTCAGGGGGTTGTCCTGTTGCATTTCATTCTGTGGAGAGCTAAATTTCTGGTTGACAGATTACAGTCTGATTTTCATGTAACGAGACAAGGGTTTTATTTAGGTTTTAATGAGTGTTAGGAATCATTGGCATTGATCCATTTTCAAAATTAAATGATAGAGGGATTGCAAGTTAAAGTTTCTAGTACCATTACTCATACTTGTTTTCCAAAAGAGCATCTTCAGGTAATTTGTTTTCTGTTGGCTGCTTGTCAACCCTACAAAAGGCTTTAACAATGACTTGCTTGACTGACCCCAGTTTTTATCTGCAGGCCTTGGTTCAGATGTGTAGGTAGGATGAGAAAAGACACTTGGTGTTGCAGCTTTTCACATCCAGGTATCTTGCCTTTCAGGGACAAGCGTGGTCACAGTCCCCTGTATCATAAATTGGGAGTTCAGAGAGCAGCATGCCAAGAAAGGACCACTTTAGTCTGAGGATCTCTCAGCTTTTCTGTGTCTTAGCTTGTTTCTGCTCAGTTTTCTGAATTCTTTATTCTCTGCTGAGTTAGATGTCTACTTGAGGTCAGGTACTCTCATGAAGAGCTGGAATGAGACTGCTGTATCATTATATCTATATAAACCTATTCTGGTGTGTCTTGCAGAATGTAATATTTGAAAGGTGTTTACTGAGGAAGTTGTGACCAGCATTACCAGTTTAGCAGTTTTAAGTCCAAACTGTGTGTTCCCTAAGAGTCTGTTGGTGGTTATTTAGTAGTACTATTTTCCTCTGATTTTTCACCAAGCCTCCTGTCGCACCAGGTTTTTTTTCGAATCAGTTTGCTACCCTTGACAGTTGGTATGTTGTAAGAGGATGTGGCTGTCAGGAGCTGCTGAATTCTGTCCCAGCCTTCAGTTCCTTCTCACTGTTTTCTGTCCCCATGGCCTATTGCACATAGAGCTCTTGATGTTTTATTGGAACTTCGCAGAAAGAGCATCCTGCTGACACTGCTAAAACTTTCTGCTCTAGGCCTTTGTAGGGTGCTTACAATGTAAATATTCACATTGTGAGTTTTAACCTGATTATTTCTTTATAACTTTGAACTTTGTATGTATTCATTTATGCTCCTTTAAAATAATTTGCATTCTGCTGACAAGGCAGTCACCCACTATTTTTAGTTATTCATTCAGTTGTGGAGTGGTGGTGTGGGCACTGACAGCTCTAATGCTTTTCAGAGATGGTATTAAATTTGGGGCTTTATTTGTCCATTTGTAGTTGCTCAAGATTTCAGAGCACTTTTCTAGAAGAAAAGATGATCTTTTGTCCTGTTCAATGTGCTTTTCTTTTTTTTCTTTGTAAAACAAGTGAGGATTTAACAGGCTTTTGTGAATATTTTTCCAAAACATACAGTGCTTCAAATGCATGTTGAATATGATAACTATAAGTCTTAGATAAAATAAACTCCATTTCACATTGGGGGAAGTAAACAAAATAAAAGGTAGAAAAATTGAAAATGCTTTGAAAGGTCATTTGGACTTCGCTGATCTTTCCATGTACTACTTTGTTTTCAACAAGTCCTTGGTCTTGGTGAGCCATAGTCTTGTAAATTCTTTTTACACTGTAGGGGTTTTTTTTCAGGTTTCCTTTCAGTTAGTTGTAGAGAGCAATAAGGTCCCCCTGAACCTCCTTTTATTCAGTCTAAACACCCCCAGCTCCCTCAGCCACTCCTCATAATATTTGTGCTCCAGACCCTTCACCTGCTCCATTGTCCTTGAGCACCAAATTTTCTTTTTTGTCTTGATGGGAATAGTGAAAAAATAACCATATGCAAGAACTGCATCAATTTACTAATCTCTCGTCAGTCTTAGGATTTTGTCTTGTTAATTCTTATATCTGAGTGATTTTCATGTAAAACCTACAACCACTCTGAAGATTCTAGGAAACATCTGAATGTGGCTAGTTTTCCTACATTTTTGAGGGTTCTCTGCTTGGTGAACGATTATGGGAAAAGGAGGTTAATTGATTTCATTGGGTTTTGTGGCCATCTAAATTGGGGTTAAGACTGCCTTGCTGGTGATGCTTTGTTTCTTTCAAAGAAGAAGATTCACTTATTACAGGGATATCCTAGGTGCATTCACTCCTCTGAAAATGTGGCATGCCAAAAAAGAGACAGGGTTCAAACATTTGCTGGGACATTTGGAATCCACTGTGAGCAAAGAAATTGTCTGTCTTCCTGCATGGTGGGACTTCGTGGGGTTTTTACGTGACATGGGCTTTGTAGTCATCTCCTCCATCAGTGCTTACAGGAGCAGTGATGACTCAGCTGTCATGAGTCCTCTTGAATGTTTGGCACATCTTATCTAACTTCAGCCACCTGACATACATGTATGGTTTGAGTAGACAACAACAACCTTTTTGTGGTGTTATTTGAGGTATTTAACTTGCATTAATTTGCTCTACTCTATTATTTCCATGTAGTTCTCAATATATTGTAGACTTTTCATATTTAGTATGCATGAGAGGTCTGTGGAAACAGCCTTGGGGGGACAGTATTTTTGACAACAGAGCAGAAAATAGCAATGTGATTTTGGTGTTAGAAGAGGGGCAGGAAATGGGGCTGGCTGAGTATTTAAGAAGCAACTAAATTTGAACTTAGTCTATTTGAAGATTATATCAATATGCTTTACTATTGACCTTTGGACCAAAAAGGAGAGGACATTTGGAAAGGAAAATTAAAAAAAGCACCACCGGAACAAAACCAGATGTGTCCTTCACCTCTGAACAAATGTTAGAAACTGTTCTCTGGGCTTATCACAGAGTCTAGTGTTAAGAGAGGCTGAACAATGAAGTGATCAGCCATGACAACATGTAAATGTTCAACATGTAAATGTTGTCATTAGGTTTTAGAGGTTATTTTTCCCCTAATTTTACAGACCAAGGAATGCCATATTGCTTCCCTGCTGTCTCGAAAGGATTTCTTTATAGTAGTAGAATCCATACATATGAACTCAGCCTTATGTGCTAGAATGTGGTTGCATTGTGACCTTTCAGACCAAAGGGCATTGAGTACATGCCCTAAGCAAATATGCCAAGATCAACTGGTTATTTAACATTTACATTATCTAATATTCCAAATGAAATGGAAAACCATAATACACATGGGCCAGCGTGGGCAGAAACGGTGAAGTGTGACCACTTGACACCAAAATTGTCACCACCAACATGATTTTCATTAATACTTTTTGTTCCTATAATGAATAGCTATTTAACTGTGCTAATTCAAATTATTTTAGGATTTATTTTCAATGCTAAATTTATCTGTCTTCCACTCATTAATGCCTAGGAGCTCCGTCTGGCAGGTTATTTAGCTAAACTGACGAGGGTGCCAATGGGGATGCTGCACAGGGTCCTGAACTTGTTGCTGCCCTTCAGCTCACAAAGTGAGGTTCTTTCTGTCCTCGATTCCATCAGTAAATATTCAGATGGTGTTGCTGAAAGTGACAGTAATGCAGAAGAATCTGGCAGCTGTAAGAAAAGGTAAGTACGATGTTTTCTGGTAGAGATTGACAGCGTTTGAAAAAAATCACGTGTGCATAAGTTTCCTTTTGAAATAGTTTAGTGGGGAAAAATACTTTGAAACTGCTAGCTTGTTTTGTGAAATATTTTAACTGTGATAAATCGATTGATAAAAATTTGATTAATTTTATAAGTTCATTGATTAAACAGCAGTTTCATAGATTTATAAATCTTCTGATCATTTTCTTTCTGTTGACTGAATTGGAGTTTCTTAAAATATTTTCCTTCCAGCTTTCTGTATTTATAATATTCATAACACATGAGTTTTTAGGTGTCTGTAGCTCCTAAAGATATGAAGGAAGTTCTCCTTTTTAGTAATGGCAGTTTCAGCCTTGCAGCTGCCTCTCTCTTTGTAGTCCATTACTGAAGTCCCAAGTGGCCACTGTTTTTCCCTCTACTCCCAGAGACAGATACACTCCCAGAGCCTTCATTGCTCCAGATTAGCCCCATTAACATCTGCTGAATGTCTGTGCAGCTAACACCAAGAGATGCTTCCAGAGCTGCTTGCCCAACTCCCTGCCATGGCATGGCAAGGGGAAAAAAGCAGATGTTGTGGCACTGGGCCCTCTGGTTGGCAGATGTGTGTTGTGAAGGAACAGATAAAGGTCCTTGGGAGTGTGCCCTGAGGTGTGATCTTAGCTGATTTAAATGATTTGTGGCAGGGCAGCAAAAATACTTGAATGGCCTTACTGACTGTATTCACAGTATTACTGTCAAGGCTTTGGTAGCTAAAGTCAGAAAGGGAAAAAAGCCTGTATATTTGGGGATTTGCTGCTGAGAAATTTTTCTTTCCTGCTCCTTCAGGAAGAACCAAGAGTTGTGGCAAGCACTGGAGAACAAAGTAAGGCAAGATCTGATAAACAGAAGTTTAGAAAAGATCCCTTCTCTAAGCAAGAGAAAAGACAGGTAAGAAGAAAACAGGAAGAAACATATATGAGCTTATAGTTTATTTAATCTCCAAAGATTCTTCTTACAACTGTTAGAAAATAAGTTCATAAATATGCATTTCTGACACTATTCTGCTGTTCAATGCTTGTGTCTCCTGAATAAATTGACACATAATAAGCAAGTAGAGTAAATACCTAAAAAGATTTTCCTGTACATTTCCACAACATTCCCACATTTTTCATATACATTGCTCATCTTCCCTATGTTTGTTTGTTATAAAACTACATTTCCTTTTGCAATTTTGCCTCTCATAAAATGATATGTAAATTATTGGAGATTGGAATGAATATTACAATTCTCTCTATTGAAATAGGATTTTATTTAGCTCCCAAAGTCACCACTTCAATGTCAGGATATGATATAGCAATTTCTTCTATTTTTTTGCCCCAGTTTTCATTTTTCAATCCCAATTTTTTCATTAATGTAGCTTGATAAAGAAGAAGCAGCGTGCCCTTTTGGAAAAAGCATCATTCATTCATCTTGGATGTTCACCTACACATCACCCTGTGGAACAGTCTGATCCAGCTGCTTCTTTGAACACTGCAGCTGCTGAAGCCATAGAGCTATTCAACACAGGGGAGAAGATACTTTTGTTCCGTGAGCCAAGTGATCCAATACTTACTTTGCATAAATCTCCAAGGAAAAAGAAAAAGAACTTTCTTAATTCTAAAAAGGCTGCTCGTGCAAACATGGACTCATGAGGGCAACTTCCATTTAAAGAATCAATTTAAAATGCAGTGAAATAATGAGAAAGAATGAAGTGTGCAACTCAAATAACCTGTGTTGTTTTAATCGGGTTTGTCTGACATTGGAAATAGCTGTAATTTTAGAATGGCACAGTTAGCAATGTGCCTTTTTGAATTCTTGTCAACATTTGGTGCGGTATAGAATCACAGAATTTAAGGGTTGGAATGGACCTTACAGATCATCCAGCCCCAACCCCCTGCCCTTGGCAGGGACACCTCCTCACTAGATCAGGTTGCTCAATGCTTCATCCAGCCTGGCCTTGAACACTGCCAGGGTTGGGGCAGCCACAGCCTCCCTGGGCAACCTGGGCCAGTGTCTCACCACCCTTAGAGTAAAAAGCTTTCTTCCTCACATCCAACCTAGACTTTCCCTCCTTCAATTTGAACCCATTACCCCTTGTCCTGTCACTGCAGCTCCTAACACAGAGTCCCTCTCCAGCTCCTTGTGGGCCCTTCAGATATTGAAAAGTTGCTCTGAGGTCTCCAAACAGTCTTCTTTTCTCCAGGTTGAACAGCCCCAACTTCCTCAACCTGTCTTCACAGCGGAGATGCTCCAGTCCTCTTAGCAACTTTGTGGCCTCCTCTGGACTTGCTCCAACAGTTCCATGTCCTTCTTATCTTCAGGACACTAGAACTGTATGCAGTATTCCAGGTGGGTCTCAACAGAGCAGAGCAGAGGGGAAGAATCACCTCTTCTGACCTGCTGCCCACACTCCTTTGGATGCAGCCCAGGATTCCTTTGGCTTTTCTGGGCTGAGCTCACACTGCAGCTCATGCTGAGCTTCTCATCCACTGTCACTCCCAAATCTTTCTCTTCACTGCTGATTTCAATTACTTCCCCACCCAACCTGTAGCTGTGCCTGGGATTGCCATCACCCAGATATAGGACCTTGCACTTCATTTTGTTAAACTTCATGAGGTTTGCGTTGTTCCACCTCTCAAACCCGTCAGGGTCCCTCTGGATGGCACATCCCTTCCCTCCAGCAGTGACTGCCCCACAATGAAAGACGTATGTTTTCGATGCACATTTTGGCAGGCGGGACTCAGTGTTCCTTCAGTACATTTTGGTCATTGTTGCACTGATATTACTGTGGCTATATTTTCATAATTTATATAGAAAAGTTATTTATTGTATACAGTAGGTACTGATTTACTATTCTTGTATGTATATATTTTTGTAATAAACTGCAGTACAGCAGATGTCATGAAGAGATGAAGTGGATGAACTACAAGTCCTCTGTTCTCTGATTTTGTGTTATTCTAGCTAATTTGCTGTTTAATGTTGTGTTCTTAATAGGCTTTGAATGTTACTTCTGCAGTCTGTGTTCTGCAGGGGTAGCTGGTAGTCCAGATGTTCAGCATATACTTATGTCCTTAGCCTTACATCCTAGAGTAACTTCAGCTTTTTGCTGTTGTTTCTAAACTTGCTTCAGTTTAACTATGAATGTAACTACAGTTCAACACTGTGTTAAATATTTACAATCTGTTGCAGTTCATTTTCTTGGTGAACCAATAGCATCACATTTGCTTAGCAGAAAAGGGAAAAAATGTAAATGGGCATGTAATACCTTCAGAACTTTTTTGATTGCATTACCTCCAATTTTCATAATTTTAGGTGGGTATTTTTGAAGTTCTTATTTCTGAATGTCTCTAAGTTGATGAGAATATCATTTTACATTTCAAAAAGAGTTAATTTTTAAACCTTTCTAGTTGACTGAAAGAAGCCTGTAAGTATGAACCCTCAAAAGAGGAACAGAAAAAGGCTAGTTAAAAGAACCACATATATTTTTGAGTATTTCATTATATTCAATCTGTTTTGAGGGGGTTTAAGTGTATTTGAATGCTCTGAGCCTACTGTGATCATATATTTCACAATTTTTCATGTATGGATCTTCTGTGTCTTTATAGGGTGCCATGTCATTTTAAAAATTAAAATGTTGCAATGGGCATCTGTCTGCAGTTGGCATCTATTCTAAGTGGAAAAAAACATACTTTTTTTCCCACTTCTCTGATGAGTTTAAATATTCATCCCACAGTAAACAACAATTAGTGTTCCTTATCACTATTAGCATTAGAAAATGTATGCAGTAATTAGCTTGATAATCCTAATTATTTTTTGATTGCATTCTTCAGTCTTTTTGTAGAAGACTTTGCTGTCCCAGAATGAGGAGTCTGTCAGGGCTGTGGGAGCTCAGAGTCACTGTCTTATGTCTGGTATATCATCCCCAAGACCTATATAGGAGGAACCTCAAGTATTACAGAGAGAGGTTTGGCCCTATGCAAGAAAAAACAATAGGAAAACCTTCCTGTGCTCATGGCTCAAGGAGCACTTGAAAGCTTCTCTTGATGTGTCTCTTCCAAGATTTCTTTTCAAGCCCAAACTCTGCACTGTTAGAAAACAAAAGGGAAATGACAGTACTTATCATGGATAAGACATTGAGGCCAATAGCTTTAATTAGTTACAAGAATACAATCCAACATCTGAATATTGATTGCAGTATCACTTTATTATCCTTAGTAGATAATCTATATGTCTAATAATAGAAAGTTGATTCATAACTCTCTCACACCTCATCACAAATTTCAAGTAGCTCAGTGACTGTAACTATTCTAGCAGGGAAAATCATGCCCTGCTATGAGTCACTTTCAGATCATGCAATACATACTCAAAGAAATGTCCAGATATTAACATCTCTTGTGCCCTATGAATGAAGCACTACCTAGGTAATAGCTCAGTTCAGTAAAGAGCTAACTGATGTTCAGCTTTGGGTCACTCAGCTGTTGTGAGTGCAGCTCTCTGTGTGTGCCATAGGTATGAGCATCCTTACTTCACAGGTGAAGTCTTCCAAGGAGTATGTGTACTGGACAAGCTATTAAAGCTATTTGGCTTCCCAGTCATTACTTATAAAATAATTCATATAAGGCCAAATTCTTCAGGGTTTGAAATGTTATCCATATGGACCAAATTGTTCACCATTCTCACTGAATGAACATGAAAAAGGGACACTTTATAGTTTGGCTGAACCTCCTATTTTAAACAGATGTAGCTACATTAAAAGGATAGAAGTATCTGGTAAGAGGATTCATATCATGCTTATTGTAGAACTGAGACTTCAAAGAGATGCATCAGTCATTTAGCAACACTTGCTGTTGGTTTCTACCTGGCTATATAATGCACTTTAGTGACGTGGAAAGTACTGGGAGTGAAGGACTCTTCCAAGGAGCCAAAACATGCAAAGAGCAAGCAAAAGTAACTGTCCTTGGGCAGTGCTACTTTAATCCACACAGTAAAAGCTGAGTTGCTGGCAGTGATATACTTTATTGAAGAAATTATTCTCCATGCTGAACTAATAAACTGTGGGGTTTTGTTATCATTTGTTCAACATGCGCTTGACTAATTAATAAACACTTTCAAGCTGTACCCACTGCACAGTGCATCCTTTGTGCCCAGGGCTCAGGATTTCCAGCAAGCTTATTAGTTGTGCACAGGCTCCTCAGTGTTATCATTAACCCACCTTTCTGCTCACACTGTGATCCCTCATGAAGGACCATGTAGGGCATTTCATGGGATGTTTAAAGTTGTCAAGGTCCTCCGTGCCCATAGATTTAACCACATCCATACACATTTGTCAACTGCTTTCGTTGAGATTTAGTTTCTTGTCATGAGTGAGTTAAACCAAGAAACCCATGTGAATCCCAGTGGTGGATGAATAAAGGTCTGGGAACTAAGGCCTCAATGCACTTCATTTCCTTTGTGATTAGAACAAGAAATGAAAAATCATACCAGCAGTGGAATAAGGCAGTTCTTTGCCAGCTGTTGTATATGCACCATGGGCTGTCATGGGAATTGACTCTGGAATAGCAGTGCAGTGGGGGGGAGAGGACTCCTGAGCTGTCTGTCTCCTTCAAAGCATGGAGAGAAAAGCCATGGCTGAGTAGATTTCCTGTGGTCTTTTGATGCCTAGCAGGAAGCTGTACCACTAATGGTGCATATGCTGACAAACATCTTTGAAAGCATCTTGTATGTTGCTGTGAAGAGTTAATTTCTGCTAACAATCCGACTGCACAAGGAATACAGGGAGGTTATAGAATTACTTTGTTCTGAGAGTAGTTGTATTGCTGCCTTTGTGTCTGAGAGATATTCTTCCTAGTTGAAGAGTAGGAAGAGAGCACTTCAACTAACATTTGGGAATAATATTTGCCAAGGATATGTGATAAGAAAATTATGATATAAAAAACTCCATAAATTTTGAGGAGGAAAAAAAAACCCTGCAGAAATGACTGGCCATCTTCCTGGCTCCTCCAATTTCTATGCATATGAATAGTTCCTTAAATGCAATTATGCTGTTTACATGAATGAAGATGTCAGGGTTTGGTTAACACAACCCCTGTACACAGTGATTCAGTGTTGTATCACTCTAGAGAGTAATTCAGTGTGGCACAAAATCCTGCTAGCATGTTCTGGCTGTCAAAGCATGCTCCGTGCATAAGGTACATGCTGCAATTTGTTTTGCTTTATTTTGACCATCTAAATGTCACAGTGTCTAATCTAACCTAAATCTCATGGCTTTCCCCATAGCTGAGAGACAGGTACAGGCACTACCCTAGGATGATTTCTCCTTTTCTTGGGCTTTTTTGCTGTGTGTGGTTTGTGCAAACCAGAGGTACATTGTCATTGAGTGTCTCAGAACCTCTGCAGAAAAGATACTGAGTTCCAGACATCAGGGAGAACAACTGTATTTTATTAGACTAATGAGTATGTTTGGGCAAAGCAGAGTTTTACAGCTATTAAGTCTTTTTTTCAAATGAAATCAGAACTTTTTCGCTCCTGGCTGCAGTTGCTGTGGGAACAATTTCAAATAAATATGTAATTAGAGCTGGTCAATATTTATAATGAAGGAATAACTTTCACTTCAAAACCAAACTTCATTAACACATATTAAACAAAAATGGAA